CACACACACACACACACACACACACACACACACACACACACACACTCCTGCACACCTCTCCACAACCGATAAGATACCAAATGACCTTAATTAATGGCATTTCACCTCGTCTATATTTCCCATCAGTCTCTCTGAAAACCCCCTGGAGTTCTCCGGTGCACAGAAACATTAAATATTCATATCTTCATCATTTTAATATTTAAGTCAATCAAATGGATTGCAGCAGATAAAACTAACAGCAATTATCTATGCAGTGATAGGGAGATTTATTTAGTGTGATGAGTGACAGTCGGTGGAACATGAGGCTGCATGTCTGCCGCTCTCCCTCTTCTTTGCCTATTTTTCTTTCCCTCTTTTTGGGGGCGTCTTTCAAGGCTCCCCTTAAGTTGAAAGGGAATCGCTGGCACAGCTTATGAAGAGTTTTTGAAAAAAAGAGATATCCACTTTAAACGTAAAGTGACACGGACTCTTTCAGTGTGGCTGACAACTTAACAATGACAAACTGTGGCGCCATCCAGAAGATTGTTGTGGATATGGCTATGAGAGCTAATGTGGTGGCTCTATTTGTATTGAGATTTAAAGGTGCAGTGTGTGAGATCTGGGCTAGACTTTTTGTTTTAAAAGATTCAAATAATGAGGTAACATTCTCAACCGAATGTGAATTGAAAAAAACAACATTTCCGTTTCTTCCTCCCCGCCACCAGGAGACTACTTCTTGCATTTAGCAGATTCTTGCCGTGCTGTTGTAGATTGTGAAATTCTGCCACCTACTTCTTTGTAGTATGTGGGATTCCACCGTGACCCTAATTGATAACCAGCCTCACATGTTTAATTTCACTGCTGTTTTTGGCTACTTGGGGAAAAAAAGGCTGTGATGTCGTATTCCCCCTGAATTTCTCCACATGAATCAAAGTCGTAAATCAAAGCCATGCTTTTCAATCGTGTGTGCTTCTTCTCCTGTGAGGGGGTGTACGATATCTCCATTGGGACGAAATCTTGGTCAATTTTGTCCATTGACCCCGAAACGAATGGGCTCCATCAATTATTCAGTATAATGATGGATGATATTGGTTTTCAGTATCAGATGTATTTCAGTATCTGTGTTGATGGCTAAAAAATCTGGTTCACTTCTTTATGGTGATAAATCAGGGATACACACGACACATGGTTGATTAAATAAGGGACCTATTTTACATACCTACAACAATATATTTCCGGCCACTTGGGGCAGCAACACTGACTGTATGTCAGACTGACTGTATGTCAGACTGACTGACTGTATGTCAGTGTTGCTGCTGCTGCTGGAAACCAGACCGGTGAGCAGTGGTGTCGCAAAACTCTGGGCCCCGTACATGTACTGAATCATCAAGTAAACATTGATATTTAGCGGTGTGTCGGTCTTCATTACAAATAAGACAATGGTGGAAAGCCATCCTACTCTGCCACCTATACTGTACTCTGAGAAAGGGTTATGTTTCATAATAAAAGATAACCGAATAAGACTTCACTGGTATCATGTTTTATTCTATAGCCAATTGTGTCGCGACACAGAAGTAGCAGAATACAACTTGGAAACAGGCACAATGCCTGTATATCAACCCAGTCGCCAAAATAAAATGTTGGCATTGTAGGTTTCTGCAAACCACATTGCGTCCAGATTTTCATTACATATCTTTTGATAAAATATAGTGTTTTGGATTAAAATAAGTAGGCTTCTTTTGGTTTCACACATGTGACACAAACACCAATCGCCTTGGTAACTCAGGCCCTGTGTTTGTTTGACACATTCATCCACCCAGACCTCCTCCCTGGAAAGCACTTCCGTGGACTTATTAGAGATTAACCATATTTCTGATACATCAAATACAAAGGTAATCCTGGAGAGAGAAAAAAAGTTCCCTCGAAACATATAGTTGTCAGTACAGTTTCTCTGCTTACTGGTGAGTGGACCAAACAGTAAAAAAAAATGAAAATATTGATAAGTGAAGCTTTAGAACAAACAGGACCTGATAACAGTTTTAAGGCCACCGCGCCTATTTTTTGAAAGAGCATCAAGAGTCTAGTAGCCCAGATGTGTATACACCCATACTATTAGCTCATTAGCATATGATTGAATGCCCTTGCAGAACTAATGAACTAAGTCAAAAATCACTTTTTTTTGTAGATGCATGATTTAGTCAGTTCGATTTAGATTAGTCTCCTGTGTCTGTGTGGTCCCACAATCAGACTTTTCAGTGCAGCAGTGCTTCTGAACGAAACCCATCTCACACATATACCGGATCTGGCTGCAGAATACGACAAGTGGGCTAATTCTACTTCTAATAAAGACGAATCTTGACGTTTTTTATTCAATGCATGAAAAACCCTTTTGTGGGTCAGTTCTGAACCTTTCATCCTCTCCCACTTCCCTCCTTTTATCAGCAGAAGCTGCAATTCACAACATCTGCAGCACCATCCCTGCATCAGTTCACCACCCAAACACTATAAGACGTTGATTGAGATTAGACATGAGGACAGTTTGGTTATGATAAATGATCAATAGGCTACGTCCTCCCAGGGGGTTTCTTTTCTCCTTTTTCACCTCATGATTCCCAGTAAATGATATCTCGATCTGAGCTCTTCATAACGACAAAAGATCCCCGAGATCAAACGTGCACCCACTCCAGCAGAGGAATGGCAGGTGCCCACAGGCTGGTGGCGCATTACTGTGCTGCGATGGGTGTTTTTTTTTTTTTTTTTCACGCGTCACCAGTGGGCGCTTCTTTCCTGCGTACAAAGAGAGCAGAGCCCGGGGATGCGCACAATGTGAAGTCTCTCTCCGCTCAGAGGCTGTCCGCTGTCCTCTCTGCTCGTTTCTCGGCAGCATCTCGCGGAGTGTAACACGAGGAAGGTCGGGGAGCATCCCTCGGTGCGGCGAAAGCGCGCATCGTCCTCACCCGGCAAAAAAAAACACCCCCAAAAAACTCACTGATTGTGGAATTTAAAGCTACTGAGAGTAGCAGTTAGTCGCCCCGACCCTTTTTTTTTTTTTTTTTTTTTTTTAAGGACCGAGAGACGCACTTGAACGGAGCAGCGCAAAGTGCAGAGCGGCAAAACGCCGCGTGAGAACAGAGCGACCTTCTTCTTTTGGCTTCTGGAGAGGACAAGAGTTGCAGTGAGAAATGTCATCCGCTCACTAGAGCCACAAACAACGCGTCTATACCGGACACTGGAATTACAATCAATGCAGTTTAATGAAGAGGAAAAAAAGAAATCTGCATCCTAAAACAAGTAAGTATCCATCCAGGAAACCTCACGCCTGCCTTTTTTCCAATTTTTAATATGCAAGGAAACTGTATGTTGCTAAGTTCATTTTTTTTTTCTGCAGAAAAAAAATGGTTGCACGAACAAGTTCATTTGAATTCAGAGCAAAATGAAATAACCCAGAAAAAAAAAGCCACATCCCTGTGGCGAGATGGCTTCATGTAGTGTTCTAAAAAAGAAGAATAAAAAGGGGGCCACTGCTGATGCATGATGCTGATGATTGCGTTTTAGAGACGAGTCTCAAATGATTCCAATTGTCCTTCTGGGATTTCCACCGCTGGGGCTCGTTTCCCTCATCTAGGACAAAGTCCATATGGTGCTGCTCTGCTCAGTCACACAGAGACAGCATCAGGACTGGAAAAGCTCTCCCTCTAACTTGTTTAAACCAATTATCTCAGTCTCTGCAGAGGAAAACAGTCTGAGCTGCTTTTTTCCTTTTGTTTGTGATTTAGTTTGTCATCTAACAGCATAATATTCTGATATATTTCTGCAGAGAATTGATCTCAAAGATCTCACAGGATTATGATAGTTGCAGCCAACGGGTGTGTTATTAGAGACATTAATGCAAAAGCTCAGCTTTCATATATATATTTTTTTCCTCTGGAAAAGCAAATATATGGCCACCAGCAGTCTGCACACAAGTCTTCTTGTTTTTCTTCTTCTCTCCACCCAGATGCAAAAGGACAGACCCAACAGTGAGGAAAATGCTCATCTTCAAAGTATATATTTGTTTCATTATTATTAATATTAAGCAGGGATTACAATCATTCTCCCTTCATTTTGTTTATTTATAGATCCTTTGCACATCATTTGAGCCGTAGCCAAACGAGAGGTGAAACATGTCTTTGAAGCCATGCAGCGAATTATTCCGTAACGCAGCATTTGTAGCAGCATTTGCCTCGAAAAACCCTCTTTTGGTTGAACCAGAGTGGCAATTATTAGACATCCAGCTTTTCTGAGAAAAGCTGTGAAATGGATTGAATAGCAAAATAAAATGTAAAGAGCCTGTCTGAGTGTCTCCTGCTCCTCATCCTTGACCCCCCCACAGTCATGTGTTTGTGGCTGTATTGGATGAGGATCTGGGGATGATGTGGCTGGCTGATGATGGGGTTGAGAAATGGATCGCTGCTCCCCTCTCTTTTAAGTGCACTTACTCTCCTGCCCCCTGCGTTAGGCAGCAGCTGAGGGATGCAGCCGTGTTTAACATGGGAGGGAGTCACTGGGGCGTCCTGCTGTCCTTCCAGGGATTCAGTGATTTTTTTTATTTTTTATTTTTTTCCGCATGAAAATACACAGCTGTCTAAGGTCTGCAGAGCCTCCTGCCCAGATGTTGCACTCGTGGTAAACAAATATGTTACATGAGCAACCACAAGTGAATTTGAAATGACGTTTTTTACGCACTGTGTGTGAAAACCTTCATATTGTCCCTGCTTTTAGGTCAGTCATACATATCAAGTGGCTACTATGTTTCCTCCCCCCCCCCCCCCACCCTGCAGTCTTGAAATGAAACATCTCAAGAGTGAATATGTATTCAACCAATTCTTTCATGAATGCCAATTGTAACAGCTGTCGAGGCTGGGTCGCTTTTTTTTGTTTGCAACCTCAATAAAGAAACTCCCTCACCTGAGAGAAGGCAGAGTTGTGATGCAATCGGCGCCGAACAATTACCCAACTACTTGGCTGCGTCTTCTCACTTCACAAGTATTTCGCTGTGGACGTTAAGCTTCTGCCTTTTATTTGTGAGTCACTTCACTAATTCTTCATTTTTCCCTTGTAATCCTCCCCGGCTCATGCTAAAATAGACCTGTGCCAGGCCCCTTTGGACTAAATTAGGAGGCTTCAGTGCACGGTTGATCGTGGATTCTTCATTCGTTGGCGAAAGCACAGAGCAGCTGTGTATTCAGATTGAGTCCGTTCCCCCCGGGGTGGCGGATCCTCGACTCCCAGGTTCTCCTGCAGAGTGATTTAATGGAGACAGACATGAAGACGATAACTATGTGGAAATGAATGCATCATGTTCCGTAGTGAATTCATACCTATTGTGCCACTGGTGTTCAATTTTGACAGAGTTGAGTTTTTTTCTTAGCATGATCGGATATATCTTGATCTCCCAGCTCTGTGCACCGCGTGTGATCTGAATACAGACCTCGAGCGTGCACACCCCTGTGACAGAGAAACTCTCCCTTTTTTCCCTTCCTTTATTGGATTCTTTTCACAATGATGGGATGCATGCCTTTAACCACCTTTCCTATCAATTATTTGCCAAAACAACAGCCCCACTAACCAAGAAGCCATCTCATTTACTCTGGAATGTGTTCAGTCCAATGACTTCCATTAGGTTGAGCTTCTGCAGAGGTGAACGTGTGATGCCTCATTACATTTGGCAGAGCAATCTTTAGCTCATCATTTTCAGCTGAGAAAGAAAAAAACGCCCGCCTCACCTTCATCGCGTCGGAGACAAGTTCTTTTTTTTTTTTTTCATTTTTCCCTGCGTCCAGAGTTCTCTTTCTTTTGGATTTGCTAAAGCTTTTCGCTTATATGCAGCTCAAGGTTTGACACTGGTGCAGCTTTTTGAAGGTCAAAAGTGATACAATTCTTTCTTCAATTTTTACAGCTTGGCTTTCGTCACGAGACACTTAAGCTCTCCACCGAGCGCCACTGCAAAGCTGTCGGCGGGTGACACACCCTTGTTACACAATATCTGGACAAACTGGCACATACGTTATTGCAAGTGCAGAGGTTAATCAACCCATAATTCAGACAATCTTTTTCCCCAAAAATGAAAATTGTCCCTGTAGGTTTTAACAGACTGCAGAAATGAAGCTGTGCTCTGGGGCAAACATCCATCATATCAGCACAGAAGCTGTGCCATGAGCTGAGTAACACCCAACTTGCAAAGAAAGTCTTTTTCGAGGAGATTTTCTTCTCGGGATCTTGTAGCTTTTTGGACTGATGGGTTGTGATGACGAGGTCGTATCCTCCGTATGCTGCACTCACACTGAAGAATGCAGTAGCCTCTCTTTTTTTTGCTCCAGTAGAATCTCCAACCATTTAATCCAATGTGATGTGTTTTTAAAGCAGCAAAACGCCCACAACATTTTTAAAGACACCAGGAAATCCACTCTGGAACTTGCTGTGCCTGCAATGACACCAGATGCGGAACAATTACTGGCACCAGGACAGTGCAGTTAAGCCAACACTGGGCATTAAATTGTGATCAGGCAAATGCGATGAACCCTACCCCCCTCCATACAGTTATGTAGCCATGCTTTCCATGTCGGAGCCCAGCCACAATCCTGCAGTTACAAGTTGGTTTGAAACAAGTGATTGGTTAGTATGTTTCAAGAATTCCAAACATAGCCCTGGGTTAATCCGTGTAACAGGGTTGTGTTGTAAGGATGAGGGGCTGGGTTGAATTCTTAATCCTGGGAGGCGGATCAGTTTCCACTGAGTGTGATGTGGGTCAGGGCTTGAGCAAAGCCCCTTCTGTGCCACCGATGCATTTAGTCTCGGGGCTCTTGGTTCCACCTCCTCAAGAGAAAAGTTGAACGGCCATTGAGGCAATTGATCACTGGTCTGATGGGATATCTGATGCAGGTGTGTGTATAGGTGATGGGGGTGGGAGATACCTGTGAGGATAAAATCTTCCATCGCAATATATTGTATGTCAAGATACATTGATATACTGTCTTTTAAAGACTGGACTATCTTTTTTTGGGCTAGTCCGTATTGAGGCGGATGTCCAATGCTACTTTAATGCAGTTCTACTGATTTATTCGTAACAAAGCACCTACTAAAACCAGAGATATTAAAGAGGCACTCCGGCAAATACGTATCATGTTCCGACAATGTTAGGGAACTCAGAAGAGTCAACTTTAAAAGAAGAATGATCAAAATCAGAACCTCAGAGGCAGATATATCCGGACTTTAATTGTACTCATATGTGTCAAGCACCAAAAAACGCTGGATCCTCCATTTCCCATAATGCAACCATCTACCCCACACCAGCAGCATGTAAGACAGACTTTTTGTTTCAAGCAGCATTGGAGAAGTTATCAATCGATCATAAAAACTTGATTTCCTCAGCACCTTTACATACAGGTTAGTGCAGAATGAAGTGCTTCACAGATGACTCTCAAGCTGGATCTGTGGTTCTGTCTTATATCCTGTAAGTGTGGACCCTGAAAACAGAAAATACCAAAAACAATTCAGCAATTTGACAATTTAAGACCAATGCAATAACGTAATAAAAGGAATTAAAAGCTGTAATAGCAATAGTAGTAAAACAGCATGAAATGAAAAAATAGATTAATTAAATAACAATTAAATGCAATAAGACAACTAAAACATAGAGTAAAACTGAAAAATAGTCAAAGGCCTGGCTGATGGGTAGGTTTTAAGTTTATGATTAAATGTATTACTTAACTACATCACTTTACCTATTACTCGACAAAAAAACAACAGAAAACAAAGCCTCCACATGCCCCGATATATTCTGCAGTTTGGTCCTACTGGGACAAGAAAGACCAGGTTGGAATAAATCCTAACCAACATATCATTGCTCGAATGAATTTGCTCCCAAAGTAGCTTAATAGCCCTGTTTTAGAATTGATGCCGTTCCCTGTATTCACCGGGCCTCCGCTGCCTTACTGTGAGTGACAGTCTAACATGGATGTATAAGGCAGCTGCACTCTACAGAATCAACAAACAGCCTTACCTTTACCCACCATTATTTGTTGTCCCACCTGTAGTGTTGAATTCACAATGCTGCTGGTTAAACAGCAAAACAAGTCCACCCCCAAACTTTCAAAGTAACAGCATTGCTGAGATTAGTAACTGCAATGTGGCTACTGCATTTTAAAATGGTCACTGTATTCTTCTAATGACAACGATGCTAATGACACCGTCAGCATCATTCTCTCAGACAAATGACATGCAACTGTTTTCACGCAGCTGAGCAGTAAACTCACCTTGATGTGTTAAACTGTCGGAGTGGCCCTTTAAATTGCTTGGTAGAAAAGGTATAGGCTGACAAATGACAGTATATATCGCTTACAGTGAGATGTACCATTCGTGTTGGTTTATATGCCGCTTTCTTTTATCCGCTGTCGATGCATTTATATACCAATAAAAGGAGTCGGTTTGCTTTGTTAATGCATGAAGTGTCATTTTGTGGATTGCTGGTACACAGTCTGCCAGCTCCTATTAATAGTCAAATGGGAAAAGAGAAGTATTCCTTTCGAGGTCAATCATTTCCTTCCCCACTCCTCTTTAAAGCTGCATTGAGCTTGTTAGGCGGGATGACAACACAGCCATTTAGCAGCTGTTTCTTCTTCTGTGCCACCTGAAAAATTGCACCGCCGGGTTGTACCCTCAAGTTCTCTCTCTGCTACTGCCCCCCCCCTTCTTTACTTTCTCTGCACTTACAGCATCTCCCGGATGAAACGAACCAATTATGTAACTTAGCAGAGCTATAATCATGTTTTGTGTTTTATTTTTGCTGATGAATGCTTGTCGTATCTGGCTCAAAATGTCATATTTTAATCACATGCATAATTACTTTCCCTTCAGATTAAAATTCCTGTATTCAAGGGAGAGCGTTCACAAGCAACTGGATGAGAGTCTTATTAGCCCTCGGCAACTAAAGATGATGTTACCATGGAAACAAATTGTTCTGCTGTCAATCACTGGATGGCTTGCAGGTAAGACGTTTTTGTACACGTATTCTGTTTGAGACTGCAGTTGTTTATGTCATGGCAACATTTTTGCTAATAACTTTTGTGTTTTCCAATGCATATTCATTACGGGATGATGTTACAGTCGTGCTTTTTCCGCTCACGGGCGGAAATGCATGTCTGTAAGGTTAGAAGTTATGAATAGCATTTCATTCTTAGGGAGCAGTGTTTGTATGGAATATGGAGTTTCATCCATTCGTGAGGAAGAGATAGAATCAGAACAGTTGTAAATAACCTCGGATAGAAAAAAAAAACCTTCTTCTCCGCCAAAAAAAAAGGTTACACTGATGAAGTTGCAGTCATTACATGCACACCGTACCAAGCACGATGCCCTTCACCGCACGCTTACAGCACACTGTCAGCCACAACCGGGAGTCTGATCTCCGTCCCTGTTTATGACCCGTCCAGATCATTATCGGGATCCACGCAATGAATCCAGCCCCCCCTCCACACACACATTTTTGCACAATCTACTTGCCGCCGCGCCTCATTCTGCCCTTGTGTGGCCACCCGGGATTTGAGAAGCACAGACACTCCACCAGAATGTCAACCCTTGTTCGAATGACATTGTAAATCCCAATGAATGTTATTCAAATTGGCTCATGGGTAATTCACGCCCCCAGTACTCAAGGGAGCCAGATCCAAGCATTCTCACCTTCCTAGCGGACAAGTGTTTTTTAACAGAGCCTCGGGATTGCCGCCTATATAGGTGCTAGTTGTTATTCAGTGTTGTGATGGAAACCCCTTGACAAAATCACGACAGCTGATAACAATCATTATGACATCTGAAGTGACACGCTGTCTGGCTCTATATACTCACAAAACACTCCGACACCTCGGATGTTAGCCTGCACGGCATTTTACTCCAACTCGCATTAGGGAGAGCTTGTTAAACCAAGCTGTGAGGTGAATACATGGTGATGTGTGTGATGCTATAGGTGTTCAATCATTTATGAATGGGTCGTTCCACTATGTTTTTGAAATGTGACAGTTTCAGATTCATCCCAAAGTTAAACTTTGCAGTAGTTTGGTTTGAATCTAATTCCAAGAAGAGTTGCAGTGATTCGTTGTCACGTCTTGTTCCCTCCGTCTATCACACGACGAACTATGTGTCGATTCCCCGACGTATTATTACCGGTTAAAACCACGTGTAGAGCAGCTATATGCTGCAATCTGTTAGCAGTAGGATATTAATCGGGCCTACTCCGGCCGTCTGTTGACTCTGCTTTCATTTAGTACCAGACTGTGTTCCACATCCTTTCCTTTTAAGCTGCTGGCAGATGAGTGCATCCTTATGGCCTCAATTAACCGGTGCAAGCAGAGTATGACATAGACGTTCTGAAAATAGACCACTCTGCTATATTTATCAACCCTGTCACTTGCAGGGAAACATTAATTATTGTGGAACTATATTAAAATATTAAAGCTTCCTACTTCGGTGGTCAAATATTGTCTCAACTGAAGTCCTCAGCTATTATTATTATGATGTTGTTTCTAGCAAGTAATTAATGCAGAACACCTCAGTTTAGTTGTATCACTAACACTAACACTAACACTGCGTTAAACTCACCCAAACCCCCGAGCCAGCTAAATATTCACACAGTAATCATTTATATTTTATAACACGTTTGCTGTATTTGTATTTCCTTGCATTTTTTTACACGGGAGTTTTGAAGCAGGGAGATTAATTATACTGGACAGTAGCAACAATGTGATGATTTAGCATGATAAAGTGACGAGTGAGGCCCCTCGCTATAGAAAACAGGTCCAGCATGCAAAATTGGATTGAATACCCATAAGCGCCATGGTCAGTGTTTTTTTTTTTTCCGTCACTATTCCAAGTGTCAGATACTAAATGAGTCAGCAATAGCAGTTAATGCCCAACAAGGATACGTGGGATTTGCTCTTCTTAACGCGAGATATAGAAAGGGCGCACACAACACTCAAGGATTGTCCTAATGCATTTCTTTGCTTTTTATATATATGTGTACACAGTATATTGAAAAAGTCATGCACACTGAGTGTCAGAACGTTGCTGTATTTCAGCAAGATTAACTATTTGTCCTCACAGGGTCTGAGCTTTGGCTGTGTTCTCCCAGTATTTTCTCTTAAGGTCAAAGAGACAATTTCTCTGGCTTGTACTATGATAGACTTTCTCCCCTTTCCCCTTCCCCAGCCTGTACAGAGGATGTCATATTTCAAGGGCCAAGATGGAGGACGGAGCCGAGTGACCTCATTTTACCGATCAACTCCCCGGACCAGCAGGCCACCATCACGTGCGAGGCAGAAGGGAGCCCTCCCCCGCAGTACAGGTAAATTACCACATCAAAGTTGCATTTCCCCACGAGCCTCCCTCGGCTCGGCCGTCCGCATCGCACGCCGCAAACTCGTTGCTGCCTAATTGCTTGTGAATCTCCGTATGCTCGCTTCTGCGGGAAATCAAAGAGGGTACCGATAGCGTTGATTGCTATTGATTCGTCAAAGAACAACGTTTTCTGGACATAAATGCTCGAGAGAGATTACGCACCATCCAACAAAAAGACAGGCTTCAAAGAGCTGCTGCTTAATTGAGCATCCATTTCTAATTGAAAAAAAAAGCTTATCTATCTGAGCCGAGGATATGATGTAGAGTCAGAGTCGAGGCCACTGTGGTTGATGAATATGCCAACACCCCAGATACGAGCGAGGTTAACTTTATTGATGATAAGATTTAAGCCACAGCACGGCTGATAATTTATGATATGGTGCACGGCTTAAGAAATCATCAGGAGAGAACAGGAGATTCCAGCGACTCATTTGCACCTTGGATCCTTTGATATCTCCCCGGCTATTCCCTGGCAGTGAAGTGGAGCCTGCCCCGAAAAAACGGCAGCTGGCGGTGTTTTTTTGTTGTTGTTATTTTGTGGTGGATTGTGTTTCAGAGCTTGGTCAGCACCATGTAGATGCACAGCAAGCAGGGAAGAGAGGCAATAACCTTGTGAGTGACATTCTGTTAAATGCTTACATTTCCTATTATGTGTCTGCGCTGAAAACATGGTCCAGGCCCAGCAGCGGTGGGGGGGGTGTATCATGGTTGTGCAACCGGATAGTCAGTCGAAATAGAAGTCGAGACCATCAAATGCATTATTTCACCCTTAAAGACTTCCGATGTTCACTTGTGTTGTGCGGGAGAGGGCAGAGTTTTTACGATACAGCTCTGATTAATGGACGTATTCCCTCCTCCTAAATCACGTCTCTAAGGACAGAGGGTGTTGTATGCTGTACGGATGTTAAAGTCTCTTTTATACATTTTTGGTAGTGGCTCAAATTGCTTTGACTTAAATTAACCGTTGGGAGGATTTAGCAGTTAAGTGCCAAATGTATTTAACAGGAGGAGGTGGAGACCAAAACAAAGCCAAAAGGATGGTTAATTACTAAACTTAGAATGGTCAGGTCTAAGGATGTCACAAGAACCGATACTTCGGTACCAAATCGATGCCAAAATTCAGTAAACTTGATTTTCTACAGTAGCCAATATATTAGCAAAATATTGCTTCCACATGCCACGAGCATATGTAATCATTTGGAGTGTTCCTGTAACCTGACTACTAAAAAACTAAAACAAGTGATCTGCCTCAAGTTTCTTGCCCAAAACTAAACCTTACAAGATGACATTTTTTTACTAAATAGAGCTTGATCATAATGTAACTCAATGCAACCTCCTTTCACGTTAGCTGTTAGCAAAGCAGGACTGTGCTGCTGCTCATCGGCTGCTACCAGCTAACGTTAATTAGCTCTCCTCCTTATAAATTTCAACATGGATTTGATGTTCACAATACAGTATTATCGGGGAAATGTTCCCTCGTCCCCGACGGCGGTACGCCGCTAGTCTCGAGCCCTGATCGCTGGGACCTATGGTACATCAACTTCACAAGGCGATGATTTGTAAAACGTGTGTTGTATTTCAGCTTGTCCTGGAGTTAACCCCAAGTGGTCAAAAACAGACAAACAAACAACATGATGCAGCGTCAAGTTCTTTGATTTTAAATTTCAAATAATGTGAAGCAGTCCAGGCTGTTTATTACAACCTTTACATTTGTTTTTCGATTTAAGTTAAAACACACTACAAAATATACTCCATCCTTTCAAAGAGATCTGGTGCTGAGTATACATTTTGTATTACCCTTTCTACTACTCTGATCTTATGTCAAGCTTTTGTTCCACTTCATCCTGCTTCTCTTGTGAACCTTGTGAGACTCTCCCCTCTTACTATGTCAATTTTTAATGTACCCTACCTGGAGTTCACTAACTTTCCACCATTTGGGAACACTCAGCTTCTGTTTGGTGCGCACATCTCGCTCTGGCGATATTCATCTAGGTCAGTAGATCCACTGTTTGGAGTCAGATATGAATAAAAAAATAATAATATCTGAAACCAGGTTTAAAAGGAAGAATTGACGTCTCAGTGAGCCGAGTCACCACTATGGATTGACAGTTCTGGTAATGCTTTTAAAGACACACGATTTCTCCCCTTAATCTTACTTTGAGGAGGGAGTCTTTTCTTTTTTTTGGAGCTTGATTTGGGTTGCATCATTTTTTCTGACGCTGATCGTCCTTGGCTTATTTCCCTTCGGGCGGAGAGAGGACTTTCTTTTGTCCTGATGATAAAATAGAAAGCGTAAATTCTTGGCAATTTATTTCCCCAACACTGAAATTAGAACTTCAAAATGTTCCTGTGCAGACTGAAAAAAATGACTGCCTTCAGGAAGTGGTCACTCTCTGACTTTCACCAGAGACGGCAAACTTTCGGCCTGAAACCCTGCAGATGAAAAGTATTTGTATAATTAGATATGCCAAGCGAGAGAGGGTATTACATTCGGAGCTGCACACTTAATTTCCTCAGTTACTGCAGCTATTAAGAAAAATTCATCCATTTGGTTTAATAGCCATAGAAAAATAAATTAGGTCACACAATATTGAATTTGTCAGAGAAGAAGAAGATGTTAACCCTTTGTCAGGGAGCCACGGAGCATTGAAGGTATCAGTTCTCCCACAATAGGGTGTTTCAGCTTTCCTGCATATCCTCCAGTGATGAAACGTAGATGAAATATTGAAATTATCAGTCAGATATTATTTGAATCCAGTTGACAGTGGACAAATACACCAAATGTATTGGATTTCCAGCACAGCTGCAATGAACCATTGAGTAGTGGTAATACCAGGAACAGTTGCAGAAGTTGTTTATTGATATTATGTATATAATATAGATCACCACACATTAACAGGCAGTATTTCTTTACATGTAAAGAGGAAAAAACAGAAATACATGTTTTTATTTTAATCCAAAATAAAGATATATATTAATAGAATAAATATAAAGAATAAGGCTGGGTTTATTCAGTCAATCGTTTTAACAGAACATTAGTCTGCTGATTTCCCTTCCCTGTGTGGCTCTCACCTCCAAGCCCATTGGTTCCATCGAATTATTTTTTTTAAACCGCTCACAAATAGTTAGTTTAATTTGTTAATAAAAGAAAGGACTCAGAAATTTCCCCCAAAACAGCTTAGCATATCACGAACGGGAGTAAATAGTGCATTTGCTGGGGACTATTTTCAGCGGCGGATGGGTCGAGTCAAAATAAACTGCGGCACTCACGTTAAAAATAATGGAGGAACATGCCCTCCAGTGAAAGGGAGTGACTCACTGATGTGTGTTCTAACAACGAAGCTCGAGCGCAGAGCAATTTAGACACGCTCAAATTTGTCAACACAACAAATGACGTGTTAGTGGGATGAATTCATTGTTGAGCTTCTATTTTACAGATTGATCGACGGTAACAACAAAATAAAAACATTTAATACCACCAACCTTTAAATCATGACCAGTGACTGTGTCAGAGACAATCTAAAATGTAAACCAGAAAATGTCTCACATAACTGCTCCTGTGATATACTGACATTTAATATGCTGCTTGACACATTTGAAAATCCCGTCTCGTTGGTTTAAACGCCAGAGTAGAGAGAGCACGTACGATAGAAGTGAGAATACCAGGTTGTCGCTTGTGTTTAAGCTCATAGCTCTTGCTAGTGAGCTTTGTATGGTCCGATTGTGTTTCCATCACATCGACTCTCCCCTCCGCCTCGCCCCGCTCGCCAGCGCCATGAATATATGAACGGGGAGCCCTGACAGTTCTCCAGTTGACAAATAGTCCAGTGTAGCGCCAGAGCACACTCCAGGGCTGAGAGCGGTGCTTTATGAATACACCTGTCACTGTGTTTACTATGAATCTGCTGCAACACAGGATCAAGGGCACAGCAGTGATTGGAAAGGGGGAATAAAAAAGTGCTCTGGCTGGTGTCTGCCATCATGTAATGTGACTTCGGGCAGATGTATGACTCTACCTTTGTTTACGGGTCGGTTCAGGGTAACAGTAACATAAATAGAACTGGGAAGGTGATTAGAAGATGGTTTTGCAGCATAGAGCCAGATAACAGGGCCGGATCTAGAAATTGTTTCGGAGGGTATCGATTTTTATCTTTTGGAGGGTTGTCCTTTTAATCCTATGAACCCTCGGGTGTACGAGATTATTTAAAAACCAATGGCATCAATTGGATTAAGGCCGGCCTGTGGTCTTTAATAAGGACAGATATACGGACTTTGAGTTATTTACTCTGTCTGTGCTTGATGAATTTGCTTTTATTTGCTTATTTGACTTTTATCGAGGCTGTAAATTGTGATTGTAAATGGTATTGTATCTGCTGGTAAGGGTTTATGAATATGTGCATATGTGTGTGTGCACATGTACTATATTACTGTTAATATTTCAGTAACTCCATATGACTTTTTTTAAGCTGACACACACACACACACACACACACACAAAAAACATTCACCTTGATACAGGGTGGTTCTCAAAGAATATTCATCTTGTTACATTTGGCTTGAAAGCCAAATGAACATCCATTTATTTTAAAAAGCAGCAGCAATAATCGACAACACAATGGCAGGGAGTACCCTGGTCTGCAGTTGACTTTCCATTATCAGCTCCAAGCTCTGCTCGTGCTCGTGCGCGTGTGCAAACAGTATGTGGTCTGTGTGGTCACTGCCGTCTCTGTGGGTGTCTGGCCTGGAGGAAAAGGCAGGTGAGCCAGTGCTGCAGCGCAATCCCCAGTCTATTTGATGAGTAGACCTCATGCAAAATTGATGTGAACCTCAAGGTCACAGGGAGTTCATTCAGAGCATGCTCAGATCAGCCAGCGCCCTGCAGCACACAGCACTGTTCTCCTGGAGTCTGTTGGACTTACTGTATAAGCTCCTCTGCACCTGACGTGGTGTTAGATGCAGGTGGCGCTAACGCTAAGAGCGCTGCTCTGCCTGCCTCACCTCTCTGTGTAACCAATGTAGGTTTGAGAGGGAAGTGTAAATGGAGGATACAGGCAAAGGACAAATGATGCTATGATGTCGTGCAAAACCCCTTTAAACAAAAAATGTCGGTGATCATCACAGGTAATGGACTCAGTATGGACATTGTGAGAAGTTCCTGCTCAAGTTTGTTTCATTCACTTTTTGAGGACTGAAGAGCTGAAAATATACAGTGTTTCAGAAGAAAATAGTATTTTCAAAAAACAGAAATGTCGTCTGGTCGTCACGTTGCCGCCAGAGCTGGTCGCCGCACTCTTGACAATGCTTGTCATCCTACCAGACACGCCGCAGCACAGCCAAGAACAGTCTCTCACCAACCTGCTGGTTGCCAGTTTTTGAAAAATGCTCCTTAATTCATCAAAACTATTTTAAATGTTTTTATTAACGACTTAAAATAATTCACTACTGCACACTAGCTTAAGAAGCCTTCATGAATCACTTACTAACATCTATAGCTGTGGACTCGATGGTTTGTTGTTCCCCATTAATGGCTTATTATAATTAAAAATGACTCGCCAACTTTAGCTGTTGGCTTATTACTAAAGTAGGAGGTCGGTCGCAAAGTAGGTCTGCCGCAGAAATCCCAGTGCTGGGTTTTACAGCTGGTGGGGAAACATTGGAGGAGGCAGCTGCAAATATGCACCAAATTCAAAGAGTCTGCCAACCAGAAGTGAAAGAGCGCTCCATTAAGAGAGGGTTGCGTTTCTCTTTAGTGTTTTCTGTTTCATCCCGTTGGTGTTAAAAGATAACAGCCCAGCTGGGTTTATAAAGATGCTGTGTTGTGCTGATGTTTCTTCACCTTTTTTCCGAGTGCGAACGCTCACATTTCTTTTTCACTTGCCTCTCACTGTCACCATGTGGAAAAAATGCAAGCGCCAGATCGTTATTTTGTTCACAACTGTCTCGTAGTGACAAAGCTGCGGTTGAAATCTCAGAATCGTATTTAAAATAGTCCCGTTACCCACGAAGGCCATCTGCTTTACCTCTCATTACTCCCCGATCTTTCTCTACACCGTTAAATCTGGCCAGTGTCTTCGAATAACAGAGCCTGTCTCAGGTGGTTTTTTTTCTGCAGCAAGAGTAGGTAGGTGGCTTACTGATTGTGTCTGCTACGCAGAGACACAACACCATCACACCCCACCAGCTGTCTGCTCCGGGGGTGTGTGTGTGATCTGTCCAGGCTACCCACCTTCCTCCCCCATTAGGTTCAATCATGCTGGGTGGCTGCAAGTCTAACTAGCTTCCCATCCTTTTCCATTTAACCTCCTCTTCCTCCTGCACACACAATAATCCTCCCTTTGGCAGGAACAAAGAAGGGAAAGGAGAATTCAAATGGAGAAACACTAGGACTTCATCAGGAAATCACTTAAAATATAATCGTAAAGTGTTTTACAAACAGAACGTTCACAGTGCGTATCAGAGATTGCGTTTTCATATACGGCATAATCTTAGAAACATGAGCTTTGCCATGACGAGTATTGTACATAAGTAATATCATTGTTGGAACAGTGATAAAATCAGTCAGATTAAGTGACTGGCACAGACTGTTAGATGAATAATGCAGGCTACAAGATGAAAGACAGCTTCGTCTTTTGTAGTCTGTCAGGCGGGAGACTGGGGAGAGCCATGACTGGCTTTAAGACTGCATGCAGCATCATTCTAACAGCCCGTTAGTTTGCCTGGGAGGGGGAAGAAAATGATATTGATTTTTTTTTTTCTCTTCATTTGAATTGTCATTTCACAGTCTTGTCACAAAGGCGGACTTGTAATAATTCTTTGTTTCTCAAATTCTATAAGGATGTGGGAAAAGTCATTTTTCATCGGTGTTAATGTTCTGAGATAAAGTCCTGTCACCCTCCGTGCTCCGATAGGTATCACTCAGTTTGCATCTCCGTCAAATATGAGGCTGTCACGCCCGGCAGACTGTAGATTTGGGTGAATAACGTCTGAGGCGTTTTCATTGTTCAGCAAGAACATTGTTCAGTGTTTTGTCTCTGTTGGTCGTGGTGATTAATAGCTGTCACTTCCTGAACTGAGTTTGCATGACAAAGTATCTCGTGACCTTTCTTTGGAGGGAATGGTCTGAAGACAATGCAATGTGAAGGTGTCAGAAAGCAATAAGTCAGAGACACAAAAGCACAAACATGAACTAATTAGAAAGCACTCAGAGAGCGCATAACTCTGAGAGGGCCGCACGGCCTTTCAGATTTCTAATGTCAAAAACACAAAAGTGTTAAGGCATTTTTAATCTGGATCAAAATGTGCAGAGAAATGTACAATCATGCTCATGAATCATGGCATATTTTTTATTTCAGTAAGTGCAGGGATTCATGAATAAATAGTAACAAGTTTTCGAGTCTACAGCCATGCTAGCAGCGCTGTTAGGCTGTATTTTGGCACAGTGGCGCTTGAGCTAAATGCTAACGTCAGCATGCTAACATGCTCATAAGGAAAATGCTAATATGCTGATGTTTAGCAGGTGTAATGTTTGCCATGTTAACCATGTTAATTTAGTGTGTTAGCTCCACCCCAGCCAGCTAAAACATTCAAATGCAGCTGAAACGTTACTGCATCAATAATGATAATACTATAGTATAATATGTAATAATGGAACAGTGACAGAACACTTTCACCTACGTAATATTTTGAGTATTAATAAACTGTCATATTGTTCGTTTTTCCTGAATCTATTATCTGTGTGATCACGGTAACTTTTGCTAATTGGCATTAATCACAAAATACAGCTGATGCTGACGGGAATGTCATTCGTTTTGCAGGTATTTCATGAACCAAAGTTGTTGGACAAAGTGAAATTTAGATTTGAAATGTCACGTGATCACCAAAGTTATCACAATTCATTCTCAGTTTGGTAGGAATGTGGTTATCAAATCCCACGCCAATCCATCCAATTATTGTCGAGAGATTACACTGAAAACCACAATTTTGAACCTCACGATGGCGTAAAAAGTCAGAGGATAAGCAAAGTCATTGGGATTAATCATCTGGACGGCATTAATATATGTGCCAACTTTAATGGCAATCCACCCAACAGTTGTTGTGATATTTCACTCTAAACCATCAACCTCATGGTAGCGCTCAGATAAAAGCCAGGGGATAACCGTAGGCATTAGGACACATCCTCTGAGGAACATGAATGTCAGCACAGAATATGTTTTGGTAATCCATTCAATATTTGTTGTGATATTTCACTCTAAACCATCAACCTCATGGCGCTCAAATACAATTCAAGGGATCACCATAGTTGTTCAGACATTCTGTCAAAGTGTGAAGGACAAACAGATCTACAGTGCGATTCCTCTAATGTGGCTAAAAACAGAAAAAAAAATGTAAAGTGCTCCCTCACATGCTATGATGCATCATTTTGGGTTTTCTTATACTTACATGAACACATATTCCTTCAGCCATGATCTAAATTTCCACCAAATGTCAATAGAAATTTTAAACTTTTTTAAACTGGACCTAGAACATAATCTCCTTGGAGGTAATTAAAACGGGAATGAAATAAAACCCACTTCACCGTGCAAGTGGGGGAAAGATCAATACTCGCCACAGAAGCTTTGCTCAGTTTTGGAATTTAGCCGACAAAAGTAGAAAACAAAATGAATGTATGAAGTCAAACTGTTAAACTGGGACCCGTTGCTGTTCTCAAAATTAAGAATTGTTTTTCTTTCTTCCTAAATTGCAATAAGAGATATTTACAACATCCCAATTTGTCTGCTAACAATACAGAATGCTACTCCTATTACTCACCTTTTATCTCCTCAGCATGATGCGACCGATCCAATCGATCTCTGTGATAAACACTGTGAGCGTGCATCTCCAGGGGGCTCAGCCACTGATTGTGTTTGCGTTTTTCCAGATGGTCACTAAACGGAACACTCATTGATCTGGGGAATGACTACCGGCGTCACATGTCTGGGGGCAGCCTGATCATTAGCAACCTGGACAAGGACCAAGACACCGGGGTATACCAGTGTACGGCCTTCAACACGTGGGGGTCCATCCTCGGCCGCAGAGCCAGCCTGCAATTTGCATGTAAGTGATCCCACGATTGCTAACACATTTTCTGGCGTGACTCTGACACAGTTATGACATCCTGGCATCGCTTTGTATCTGCTGTTTATCAGTCGGACGTGTGTAACATGGTTGTGGCCCAGGCCGCCTTCTTTTTTTTTTTTCCTTCACTATGCCGATTTCTCATTTAGATTGCCTGAGAATAGATTTTTTCGAAAGGGGAGATGGTAATCGAATGAAACGTCAGATGCAACAAACACTCACAGTGGGTGAGGCAGCTTCTGACTTCCTCTGAACTCCATTGATTCTCATTAGCGTTTCCAACTCGTGACAGCATCTATGCTCAGTCCGAAATTGACTCACTTTGCCAAGTGACGGGCCAGCCCCTGTGATCCAGACTTTAAAGGAGACGAACACAAATTATGCTTAAGAAGTGTTCGCATCTCTGCAATCACCAGCCACTTCCTTATGCATTATACATACAGCAGATTGCGAGTGGATCAGTGACAGGCTGTCTGCCGCTCTGTCAGGCTGCCGCTCAAAACACAAAAAAGGCCCGGGTTGGAAAGTGATGCTGTAGCGTGTGGTCCTACAGTACTTCCCAGACAGGCACCGTTGAGGCACCTCTCCTCTCTTGATCAAGCCTGCTGACTATTGATCATGTCCCAAGGATAGAGAGCATTTCACTTCCTCTCAGGAGATGGACTGCCATTATCCCTACAGCCAGCAATGAATCTTACTTGTGGGGACCGGGTGAAGAGCAGAGCTGCTTGACATTTATTGTCTTGCCTAATGTGCAGCAAGGGAGGTCTAGGAGATCAGCATGGCTGATACTGTGCTTTTCCGTGTAATGAGGCCACTGCCCTGAGATAGAAATGCCGTGCCTTCAAAATCAAGCGGCTTTAAGCTTGCATGTCCTCCCACAGCTCACAAGAAGAAACTACTGAAATAATGCATAGAATGAAACACGTAATTGCAATCAACATCATCGGCATGCAAACTGTATAACTGATGGGTTTGTCTTTTTCACACTGCCTTGAAGACACATCTAGTTGCATTCAATCTGGGTTTTATTTTCATAGTTTTGGCGACATCGTACTCATCAAGTTGTTTGCTGAGATCTGGGAACGTTGGCCTAGCGCAAAAGAAGGTTATTGTTTCTTTACTCAGTCCAGACTAAACATATTGATTATTTACATAAATGTCATGATTAAGAAAAAACAACCTCATAATTAAAAGAGGTAATAATTACCTTGTTAACGGTTGAGGGTTACTTCTCAACATCATATTTCATAGTGGCAGTTTCTTGCAAGCAGTACCATGATTAGCCACTGGGGCAAATTGACTTCAAGATTTTTGCCTTATTTCCAGTACATGGTTCGGCTCAACTCGACTCTACTTGATTAAGCTAATTTTTTAAGCTCACAGGTACTATTTCATTTTCCACTGCTCGTAGCCATTCAGTGTAGGCAGGACTCCAACATCATCTCCAAACAGTGGAACGTCTGCACTTTGTCAATTATGCGGCATCATTTTGTCGGCTGTCATTTTTTAAGGTCTGGGTCGATTGAATAATACAATTATGGTTGCCCATGATGGTAACTTGACGATTTAAAAATGGGATTTGTGCAGGATGTCCCAGGTCCCACTTGTGAAATTCTGTCTGACCAATCATTGGTCTGCAGTGTTTTAACTACAACTTCTATTATTGGCGCAGGTCGCTTGGAACCGTGCAGGGTTATAGCCAGTGCAGGTAGTGCAGTTGCACTAACGCCTGTTGGGTGGGCAGGCCAGACAACAATGTGTTGGATGGATACCGGACCATTGCCATCTCAGAAATAGAAGAACTGACATTCATCTAAAAGTTGTGCCACTGGCTATAAATACCCTAAAAAAAAACAAGTTTTGTCATATCAGATATGCAGTGATGATTGCTGAGTAATAAGTATGTTGATGTTGTCCAATGTCAAGTCTCTCTTTAATCATGAGACAAGGTGATACGGTAGCTAGTTTAGGCACCTCAGCTCTACAGAGCGCACACTGTCAGCTGCCTGCATCAGCGCTAGCGTTATCACTAGCTGGTGAACATGGTGGAACATAGAAGCCCAAGAGCCAGATAACTCCTTGGAGAGTTGGTGGAGACCAAAAACAGAGATAAAAGAGAGTGAATATTGGACTTACATTTCATCACCGTAACACCATCGCAAACGCCTGATCAGGTTTTACAAGTTGACAATGTGTCGGTGTTGTGTTAACAGATGCTCATTAGTAGCCAAAAAAAGGAGTGAACACTGCTTTAAATAGCCGGTTGGTATGTGTACAACCTGTTATCATCTCACTGCTCACTTGAGTTGTAATGATGTTGTCTCGTTCCCAATTCTCAGTAATTGCCTCACAGTGTTATCATAAGAGATGAAGACTGTAGGTAATACTGCAAACAAATTAATAAACCAGATTTGTTTTGTTAAAAATAGCAAACACACATTAAGACTGCTGCACCGTGTGGCCTCTGCAGCAGGTAAAAGCTTTGCTCAAGAACACTATTGTTCACAATATATATATAACGTGGGATACGGGCGGCGCCATTGCCCAGACCAATCATCTTCGAGCTGTAGTGGTTGCTCTCTGTAATCTCCAAGCCAGCCATTCTTTTTTTTGTTTTGTTTCTGCTTACAAAAGGAATCACTGCAGCTACAGTGAGTTTGGCCTCCAGCTCTCAGAGTTACAGTGTGTGGTCAGTTCCCTCCAGTGAAGGCCATTATTCTTCTGCTCAGTGGCCGGGGAAAGACAGAAGTGTATCCCCTTCAGCAGCGAGCCCAGCTACATCTCCTCAACTCCTCTGTGCCATGTTGCACGATCTCGGTGAAGTAGTCATCCTCTCCTCATCCGCTAAGTAGTTATTGTTAGCGCTCTGATTCACCATAAAAGCGCGGCTGTTAAAATGATCAACTGCTATTTTGCCGGAGCTTTTTTTAAATCAACGGGATATCGTGACTGTCTTTTAGAGATGGACAGCCTGATGAGATCAGAAGGAAGTTGCCTCCGTCTGTATTTTTGAAGTCAGCCGTCTCCTCCTGTGGCCTCCTCGGTGTCCTGCCGCGACTTGGCTCTGTTTGATTCCACTGCGGTCATCCGAGAGCTGCTCATTAATCTTACAAACACTCTGTCCCACTTCTCTCCATAATCTTCCTTCCCCTAATTTCCCTTATCGGTCACACTGACTTTCTTTTGTTTGTGTTTGGATGGCTTACTCTAGGCTGTTAGCCAGAGGGTGCAGACAGAGTACAGAGCGGACTGCGGCAGCTTCCCTCCATCAGTCATGAAGCCAGGGGTGGTTTATCATCCCAGGTTTGGGGGTTTTTTTGTCTGCCACCGACTGCTCATTCATTTGCAAAGGGGACAGATTGTGCTGAGTATTGATGGGGAGGCTAATGTTTTTAAGTGCAAGATTACACCACATTTAATAATGATGTTACTTATTGCTGCTGGCACTGCAAACTGTCATTTGTCATGCACACATCTCCGTGTTTGCTCAGTCAGCGCTCAGCCCCCCCCCCCGCCCCCCTATTTTATCCCATTCAAGGCTATTCTTCTTCGCTCTGCTAAAGTGTGGTGTCGCAGGCTAGGCATCAACAAGTCAGGTCCATCTATTTCATCTGCACCCCAGATGACTTTGAAAGTGTCGGAGGCAGTCGGAAGGTGTCCCAGGGCAATCAATGGTGCCCTATTAAAGTGCCAATGCTCAATGTAACATCACAGACGTGCCTCAGAGAATCACTAAAGGGAGTTTTGGAGTCTTCTACTATGCTTTTCAAAGAAAATTGAGAACATGGACTACATAAAAAACACACTTTCTGGCTGTCTGATACTGAGCTCAGTGCCGTTGATGATTTGACTTTTTCTTTCAGCTGCAGTCTAATTCGATTTTGATTTTATTTGACTCATTAGATCTTGATAACTTCAAAACTCAAACGGTGAGGAGCGCTGTCAACGTCCGTGAGGGCCAGGGAGTGGTTCTGTTATGTGGACCACCTGCACACTCTGGAGGTAAGCTTGCTCTATCTGGGAATGCCGCTTTTGTGCCTCATTTGACTCATAACAAGTCGTATAATTCCCTCTACCCGTTTTTACATGGCGACTTTTGATAAAGGATTACTCCCCTTACTTCCAACTTAATCTGTTTTTACACCCATTTATGTGTACAGTGCACATGCTCTTAATAATAATCACCTTATGTGTTTCATACTGAATGCTTTTGCTACGCAAATCCCTCCTTTGGTGTTCCTTTACTTATTCCGTCTGTTTTTTAAAATGTACTCCGCCAGGTGTAAGCCCGTGGGGAGATCATGCGTCTGGTTGTATGTGTGTGTGTGTGTGTGTGCATGCATGAGTGTCTGTCTGCCCACAGCTAATCAGCCTTATATTTTTTTGTGCATATTCATGACTGTTTGCTCAAGGACCTGTCGTGGTTGCAGGGCTTCACAATTTCTGAAAAAAAAAAATATATATTTTCTGTTTTATCCCGTCATTGACTCATCTTAACCGTCAGGTAGGGCCACAAGGGATCAACAAGAGATGCTTCAGTAGCAAAAGGCATTTAGATCGAGAAGGTTAAAGACAAGCCCCGCCTAGTCCGTTGCAGGCCACATCGTGACATTTGTAGTGACTCAAAAACTGACATCCATAGAATAGTTTGGTCTCATTTTTAATTCCACACAATATACTGTATATGATCCATGGGAGTTAATGGCAATACAACATGAATAAATCCCCGTTTTTGTTAACTGCGCCGCCATCTCGACTGTCGGGGAGCTGGGAGGGACAACTTATTGAGATTCAACTCTTCTTTATTTGGGAGGGGGACACACCTGGTCGAGATCTGCAATCTAATGAGTGCACTTTACTTGTTGCAGCAGTGCGTTTCCCAAAATTGGTCTCAAAGGAAAAGTTTGGCATTTTGGAATATACGCTTATTCGTTTTGTTAGATGAGAAGATTGATACCTCTCTCTAGCATAGCGTAGCACACTTCTAAAGTTCACTAATTAACACGTAATGTCTCTTTTGTTAAACCCGTACAAAAACAAAGTATTTGAACAATGTGGGTTGAGTGGGCCCTAAAAGTACAACTTGTTGCACTTTGTTATTTTTCATGGGTTAAACAAAAGATATGTCGACTAGTGAGTTTTAGAGGTACTGATAGAAGGATGTTGTTACCTTCGGACAGAGCCAGGCTGGTGATTCCAGTCTTCATGCTAAGCTGATCAGCTGCAGCCTCATAATAATGCACCACACATTCAAAACAAATGTGTGTTCAACTGAGAAGCGAGAAATGTTGTCTTTAAATAAGAGGGGCCACAAGTAGGAGATAAAGAAGCAGACTGCTCAGCCCCACCTCTCTGAGGATATGGACAATGGCTGCTGCCTAGCTTGTCTCCCTCTTGATACAGTAGCTTGCACATTGGAACAACCAATTTCCTTCACAATGGAACAGTGAATTGTACAGCTGGTCTATGGGATAATGGGTCAGAGTACTCTGTGTGAAATACAGTTTGACAGCTTTCCTCTGACATAGGCCTGGGCTTATACGCGGTTGGCTGCTGTAACTGTGGCGCTATTGTGGTTTTTTTTTTTCTCACATTTTCAGAAGTGAATGAAAGTAAAGCAGTGAGAGTCTGCTGTCCCTTTCTTCCGTTCTCGCCCTACTGCTCCTTCTCTTCCTCTTTCCCTCACACCATTCTCTCCTTTCCTCCTCTTTTCTTTTTTTTTTTTTCTCTCTGAATTTTGAAAGCATCGATTTGCTTCATAACCTTGAACTTCATTGAACTTTATATAAAACTTACGGTATAAAGCACCCTCTCCGGCTCTCGTTTCACTTTGTCGACTTTAAATTCTGCAAAAGGCTTTTACCCCCGCCACCACATTAATCATCACATCACCCAGATATGATAAATTAAAGATAAAATTGTCACATGTAATTGTTATTGTGCCACTATTGTGCTCCACCGTAGCCATTTGTTTACTCAATGGGCTTTTATAGTCACCTTCTCTGTTGCATTAAAGCCCTTATCTCTTGTATTTCTACTGTCCACTTGACTTAAAATTCTCACTGCTCATTACAGCCGCATAGTTCAGATGGAGGTTATGCTGACTCTGAACTTTGTGGCTCCTGCTTGCCTAATCAGAAGCAGCGTCATATCTGCATTGCTGCTCCCAGCTTCGGACGCTCGACCCCATCCAAGGCCGTCCGTGAGGCCCGCTCCCCCGGGATCGGTTATGATTGACAATTGTCGCATGCACCTTTTGACTCCGAGCCCCTCAACTCCAAAGTTGTGGATTACAAAGAGCATCTCCTCGCTCTCGCAAATCTGTGCAGCGCGCGTTTCTCAAAATGACACAGTAATTCACCATGGCAGGTTTCTCTTTTCGTATGGTCGAACTGCAGCTTGTGAATGGGGCTTCACAACATGTTCCCACTTCCAAACGTCAATCCATCCATCCCTATGTGCGTCAGCGCCCCCCCATGAACCCGCCAAGTCACTGAGGGACCCGGGGAATGGAGGCCATGTGTCAGGGGAGGGCCACTGACGTGCTGTAATCCATTTTGTTTCGCTCCCTTTCCCTGGGTCTCCCGTTGCTTCTGCACTGATAGCTATTACATTTGCCATGCCTTGGTATATCTTCCCAAGGAAACTGCGATAAGGGAAGGAAAATGAGGTTATATGCTAAAAGATTTAGGCCACAGTGAGGTATCTTCTCTTGGTTCAGCCGCCCCGGCTGTAGAGGTCGATGTTACTGACACAGTTCGTGTGGAATCAGTTTTGAGCGAGCGATGACGGCGGTTTAATTGTTTTTCCTTTCCATTCCAGAGCTGACATTTGCGTGGATCTTCAATGAGTACCCGTACTTTGTCCAACAGGACAATCGTCGATTCATCTCTCAGGAGACCGGGAGCCTGTACATCGCAAAAGTGGAGCGCTCAGATGTTGGCAACTACACCTGTGTGGTTAACAACACTGTGACGAGGGAGAAGGTGCTCAGCTCTCCCACACCACTGGTCCTCAGAAGTGACGGTAAATTCTTTAAACTATGGGGAACTGATGAGGCTGATATTGGAAATAATCCATAGTTGTTACATCTTTATGTCAGCATGTTGCCATTTGTGGCTGTGAGAGGTCTTTGCCCAGTAGGCATCAATTTGATATTGCATCTAGATTAAAACTGGGCTATTTTTGATTGAGCTTACTTGACAGTACTTAGTCATATTTAAATATACCACAATATAAGCAGTCACATCTGCCAATGCTTTGATATTGGACTGTTGACATCTAATCATACCGTCGACAGCTCTGCACTTAAGCTGCCTGCCCGACACCCTTTTTAAAGGCTTTTTTACTTGTCTCTCATGGCTTTATAAATGTTATTCAACACTTTTCAGATCAGTTATATACCATTCTAAAAAAACTTTTGGGTTACCTGGTTGGTCGGTCTTTATCCTCCTCTAGCACGACATTTTGTGGATCACAATCTATTTATTTTATTGATAATTCTTAATTAATTACTGCTGATTGGCATTGGCAATCATAACTGGATTATTACAGAATCCACCAACCATGGATGGTAAAGTTGGGCTACCCATACGTTGTTGTTTTCAATGGCTTATGATCAATAAAGCCTAAGTAGATCATTTGCTAACTGCTGATAAAGCCATTGATTGCAGGGTGCCTTATTAGAATGCAGTACAGTGTTTTCCTTCAGTCCTTTAGATGTGAGTGTCTCTATTCAGCCATTATTCAGAATTATCAGACTATTGATTTGAAGCACAAAATGCCGAACTGTCAAGGCTTTCGTGAGTTATAGTTTGAATTAATGTTGACGTTTCTATACAGGAAAATGCCGCGTATCATTATTAACTAATGATTAAGATGATCCTCAACCTATTCATGAGAAAAAAATGTTTCTATCATGCTTGCAGAAACGCGCAATAAGTGGTTGACGTTGTGAAACGGTTGCTTCGGTTTACTTGTTTACGGTTGGAAAAACTATAATAGCTTGTGTGGAAATAATGACGTAACAACATAACTGGCGTAAATATATAACCACCACACTTTCTTACAAAACGTTACGTAACAAGCGTAACCACAAAGTGATTAGTCAACGTTTACTTTTGGTTTTACACGGGACACGAACAGCGGTCTCCTGGGTTAAAGTTTATTTTTTGTTTGACCCATCCTCCTCAACTCTCACCTGCCCTTAGTGGAGTATTTACACGCTGGGGGTGACATGCGAACACTTACTTTTCAGAGTCTTCAGTGACCTTTAGTCTGAAAACATGCACAGGTCCCCAAATCAGCTCTTGCTTCCAGACTGTTTGTGCTTGGAAATCGTAAGGGGCATAATACCATCGCTGTGAAGACATCTTTGACTCGCTCCAGTGAATATAAATAAAGTCATAAATGAAGTCACATTGCCACAGGTGATGAATCTCTTCAAAGAGGGTCTTTTCCCTGATGTGTTCTCTGAATCTTTTATAAGCCACCTCCTCACCAATCCTTCAGCGGTCACTTTTGCTCTACATGCCGGCGTAGAGACTTTTTTTAGTGAGCTTTGTCACTGCGTTACTGCTCTCTATTTGATCCCACACTTGTATAATAGGTGAAATGTTAATCATTGATGTAAAAAGCTTCTCATCCATTGTCTCACTTTCGCAGGAGTAATGGGCGAATATGAACCCAAAATAGAAGTTCATTTCACTGATTCAGTTCCAGCTCCGAAGGAATCGGTGGTGAAACTGGAATGTTTCGCTTTGGGAAAGTAAGTCCGCCTCATTGTGTCTGTGTGTGTGTGTGTGTGACATAATCCTTAGGCTCGTTCCTGCATGAATTAGTGCTACTCAAGATGATTTAGGGATGCACGAGCGTAACATTACTCACTCTTGGATTCATCAATCCATGGAGAGCAAGGGCCGCAACATGACAAGACAAGGGAGTAGAATACAAAGTTCTTTTTAACAGCTTCTGAAATCAGGGCAATCACAGTTTGATTTGCAGGAAACAGTAACTCACAAGGCTCTAGCTTCAACTGCTTCTCTTCTGTGCTTAATCAAACTTTGATCACTGGGAGTGACAGTCGCCACCACGGGAACTACTTTTCCGTGTCTGTCTTTCTGCAGCCCCGTCCCAGAAATAAGCTGGAGGAGAACCAGCGGCATCCCTTTCCCCAGCAAAGTGAAAATGAAGAATTCAAACGCCGTCCTTGAAATTCCCAACTTCCAGCAAGAAGACGCGGGGACGTACGAGTGTATGGCAGAGAATCGGCGCGGCAAAAATGCAGCGCGGGGTCGTCTTTCATTCCATGGTGAGTGAACCGTTTCAAATTGACAGGGAATGCAGGGAGACGACGCGGGAGCGAATGTGTCTCTGCATGTGCACAGGAAGCATGCATGTGACCAGCTGCTTTAATCTCGTTCTTTTGACAGGAAGCCTATTTGTCTACAACGTGTGGGGAAACAATGTCACCATGAAATTAAAATACAGGCTTTTGGATCCATCCTCGAAAACGTAAAAAATGAATGTTATTGTAGAGACGCCAAATTCCCAGTCGATATTCAAATCTCATTATGCTGATAATCCACTTTAAACTTTGATGATCTAATGCAACCCTGCTTCAACGGCCTCGGGACTTCTGATACCACCCTTTGCTAATCCTCTGCCTTTATATCAAACACATGTTTGAAGGTAATCCTCTCATTTATTCCAAGCTAAACCTCACTGGCTCCAGACAATGACGGACACGGCGCTGTCCATCGAGGAGAACCTCTTCTGGGAGTGCAAGGCCAACGGAAAGACCAAACCGTCCTACAGCTGGCTGAAGAATGGGGAGCAGGTGACGGCTGAGGTATGGAGATGTGTTAGACTTTAGACAAACTAAAGGAAAACAGCGGAGTAAATGCGTGCGGCAACGCAATAAAAGCAGATGTTTCCGGTCCGGTTGGTTACGCTGAATCAAAAATGTACAGAAACAGTTTAAAAGATGAATTGTGAACGTACCCTGCTCAGGATGAAAGCATTATCTGTATCAGAACTGGCTTTTGATGACGAGAATCAACCTCTCATCCATTTTCCACTTACTAGATAGAACTACCGTTCGTGAAATTCAAGGGGTGCTCCAGCGATTTAGTACTGTGCTTTCATAATGGGGCAGACAGGCACACCTGGTATCTGTGTCTAAATATATCATGTGGATAACTACATCTGATCCAAGGGCCTTTGCATTTATACTTGATATTAACGAGCATTCACTAATTCATTTTTAAATCACTTTTTATATTACCGAGGTGAAAATTCACTCTCTGTCTGAACAGAAAGTGTAATTAAGAAAATGGTCCTCATGGTTTTACCTAACTCCCAATCTCCCCTCGCACCCACCTATTTCACACATCATGCCAAAGCCAAGCAAAATAATGTGGAATGTAATTATCAGTGGAAACATGCTACAAATAGATTCACAGTGACGGCTGGCATTGTTTATGTTATAAGGTGACTTTGTACCTCACTAATGTGTCGTATTTCACTGAGCTCCAGCTTTCCAAATGTGTCTAGAATTAAGATAGCACTGAGAGAAGCCCCTCCCTCTGCAGCCTTGAGGATGTCTGACTAGCTCATTGGGTTAAAAATCAATCCAAGTCATCATCCGAGCTGTCATCATAGTGTTTCCAGCTGAGCAACCGCGGCAAATAAATGACTTCTTGATATGCTCCTGGTGCTGTTGTCAACATTGCTTTTCTTCTGTGTATCTAAGACGCAGGTTAGCAGTTTCCACCGCTGCCTCCTCTTCGCTTCCCCCATTCCAATCTGAACATATGTAGAATGCCCCAGTGCTTTTTAAGCTTTGTCTCTCTCTCTCCCTCTCTCTCACTCTTCCTCCTCTCCTGCCTTCCTCCTCTCTTCATGGTGCACCAGTAATTGCTGCTGCGCTTGTGGACATAATAGGCTGGCCTTGCAATGGATATGCAGAACTGTTTCTCTCTCCTCCTCAGGGCCGGGTACAAATCGAAAACGGGGCCCTTTCCATAGCTGCGGTAAACCTGTCAGATTCCGGGGTGTATCAGTGTGTGGCTGAAAACAAACATGGCATTATTTATTCCAGTGCCCAACTAATGGTGTTAGGTAAGATTGCATCCCTCCCTCTGCTTTTATCCTGGTTATCTGTCTGTGCGTTTGATCATCTCCTGAGATAAAAACAAAACAGCAGCCTGCTACAGCTCTCCTCAGCAATCAGTTCGCAGACTCATTTGATGTCACTATGGGCGCTGCCAGCAAAACAAAAAAAAAAAAAAGAATCGGATGGAGTGTCTGATTTTACTTTTGGTCCTTTCATCATATTGACTTGGCTACTACAAACACGTTGCTCTGTAGCATTGTGCATGCTTTCGCATGTAGATGTGGTATTGATTTATTTGCAACACTTTGATGACTTCCATCTGACTGGCTCGATGAGAAATTCAATTCCGTCTTCATACATGTGATGACACTTTGAGCGACGGCTGACAAAATGCGAAAATCGCGCAGGCTGGAAGCTTTTCGAGGGGTGGATTATGTGTGGAGCATTGAAAGGGTGGGCTGGCAGCTGGGTCCGTACAGCCTTGAGCCCAATATGCATTTCTGCTGAGTTCATGCTGAGACTGCCCTCGCTGAAAGCTGAGGAGAGTTGATCTCGACGGCACGGCTGATCTGCAAAGGTACAGGTTGCCTGTATTTTCTTTTTACCTCATGCCTTCTTCTGCTCTTCAACGCTCAGCTTCACCTCCCAGTTTCTCCAGAAGTCCATTAAGGGCCTTGCTAAAAGCTCGCTCAGGCAGCGAAGTCACTCTTGAATGCAAGCCCCAGGCCTCGCCCCCAGCAATTAGCCTGTGGAAGAAAGAGAACGAGATCCTGCAGAGAACCGAAAGGTAGGATAAAAGTCCAAGTGCCTATTCCTAACAGCTTTTATTCGCATTCACCGCAAGCCCGACTTGTTTGAATAGTGTGTTTGGGATTTGTGTGGATGCATAGAAGGGAAGGCTAATGAGGAGAATGAGAGCAGGAAAACCCACCCACAAGGAAAATTGCACATGGCTATTACAGTATACTATACATGTGCAAATAGCTCGGTGTGAGCGATGAATTTGCCAGCTGGTCACATCAACACGGCACGCATGAAGTGTTTAAGACCATCAAAGATTAGCAAATGAAGTCGCTGCTGAAGATAAAGGCTTTTAGATGGAGGAAATAAAACGGAAGCTGTTGCTCCTGTAATCATCCGAGGTAAATGTACTCTTCTTCGTCATGACGTGCAAGCAGAGTTTGATTCATGCAATCACCGGTGCCGCAAAGACAAAAAAGGCCTTGTCGTAGATTTGAGAGACATCTAACAAGACTAGAAACACACACAGACATTATGCAGACAATGAGCAAACTTAAGGTGCCACTTTAAGCTGCACAAAGTGGTAGTTTGTTGTCCTCCTGCAGCGGCGATTCTGGCTAAGTGGATAGCAGGGCCGTCTTTCAATCAGAGGGTCGGCGGTTTGAGCTCCGGCTCCGCTAGTCGCATGTCGATGTGTCCTTGAGCAAGACACTTAACCCCAAAATTGCTCCCGTAGCTGTGCCTATGGTTTAGAAATGTGATAGACTTTGTAAGTCGCTTTGGATAAAAGCGTCTGCTAAATGACTGTAATGTAATGTCTCGCCGAGAGGATAATTATGGCTACTGCAAAGATTTCACACAATGCCAAAGGGCCAATTAAAAGGTGGAGAAATTCAAACGGGAAATCAGGGGCAAGAAATGGCACATTGGTGACTAAAACCCCCTCCCGTCGCTGCAAGTCACCGTGTGCACATTTCGCAGCCCGTGCACAAACAAGCACAAACAAGCAGGGCAGACTGAATAAGAGCAACTGGAAAACAGCACGGTGAAGAAATGCTTCACTTTGTGTCGTTTGAATCTCGCCCATTGCTGCTTATTCAAAAGGAGTTCTGTAAGCGAACAATACGAGCAAAGAATCTTGTCAAACCAGCACTGAGGCTCCTTGGCTGACTCCAGATGGGGAGCAGCATCCAAAGCTGCAGAAAATTGGTAAAATTCCCAAGCTGAGTGACATTGAGCACACAGCATGTGAAGCCCACGTAGTCTTTCAAACACTAGATGTACTCCGACACTGGATGGGAGCAGTGTTTTCTCTTACATGCCGTGCTGTAAATTGTAGCGCTGCTTAGAAAGATGTGTACACAACCCTATTAGCATTAAATTAATGGTACTTTCACCCAGATTATAATACAATCCAGATGCTTAATTTGCTTAATTTACTCAGGTTTTACTCATCTTAAAAAATCTGTATTTTCCGTCCAAAACTGTACAATTGTCTCCCACCACAAAACTTCTTCACGATGAAAGAAATCAAATAATACAGAGATGTGGAATTTAAAGATAGATCGTGGCGAGTGAATGCAGAACGGCTTGAAATTGGTCGCATAACAAATGATTTACAGCAGATGAGACGGTAATGGCTGTGCTCTCGGCAGCTAAACGATAGCTTCTTGCTAATGTCATTCATTCGTTAGCCCCGTTTGGGACTAGCGCTATCCATTGCACCCATTAAACTAATTCAGTTTTGTCCCAATTCGACCAATGAAGAGAATAATAAAAAGCATCGGACTCAGTGTAAAAGGTTTCTGTCCGATTTAAAAAAAGCAATACAAAAAATGTGGACTTGGTGTGCAAATGCCTTTTTATCTGGACAATTTACCAAACGCACAGTCCATTGTTTTTATCAGGACTATTTCTTTGGTCGAGCGTAGCTCCAATAACACCAGTTTTCAGTGAGGTCTGTGATTTATCGAGTCATTGTGTTCAGGAAAGACATATTGCTGTTGAGCTTTTGTTGTTTTTTCCAATTCTTTGAGCACCTCAAACACAATTCTTTTCACCTGCATTGCTTTTGGAAGTGTATAGATACCATTTTTTTCCTTTAATCCAAAGCAAGACTATAAATCCTTTTGAAACACATCTTTCCTCTTACAAATAAAAAGTTTGCTTCATTGGCAATAAAACACACTCTTGCTAAATTCAATACACTCGGGGGTTTTACTGCTACAACCTTACTTGGTCGGGTATGACAAGTAGCTTATGGTGGCTAATGTTAGCAAAGTTGCTGTACTGTATAGCTGGCATTACTGAGTCAGTTCAATGACTGTGTGACTCGTCTCCATTTCAGCGGTTGTTACATTAGCATTTAGCATTACCACACAGCCACTTGTGACAGCGGTAGCTGCTGCTTAGCAGATGTTACATCGTGTTGCTTTAGTTGAACCAACCAGAATCTGATGCTGGCTATATCCAAGCTTACTATTACATTGTTAATGTATTTAATCGAAATTATGTGTGACGATACAATACATGGTATTTGTTAAAATTCTAATTCTATGTAGGAATTCTTAGAGGTTTTCTGGCACCTTGAAACACTACGACTTTCGTCCACAAGTACCGCCAAAATTAATTCAACTCTTTTTTCGTTTCCTTAATTGTTGTAAGCGCTTTTTGCCGGTTATTATAACCGTGCACTATTTTTTGTGGTAATACATGTGCTCATATACAGTGTGCACTGTATTCCATCACATCATATCATACAGAGACGCGGGTTCCCAGTGTGATGCGGTCCTCGGTGACCTGAGCAACATAAAGCCTGTGAAGCACATTTTATTTATTCATTGATTTATTCAGTGTTGCTGTTTGTAAAATATTTCCTCATTTAGTAATGTGTCCCAGAGTTTAGCCTACCACTGAGACAGGGTGATGGGCTGCTGCTGCTTACCCGCCTCAAAGAATTTCATTTTCCTGGGATTTAGGGGAGAGCTTTAAAGCACCATGCGGGGCAAAGTGCTTCAGAGGCAGCTCCATTTTTACAAGAATACAGTAACTTCCAGTAGACTTACTACTTGAAGACTAAAATAAAATGGGTAAATGTTGAATATAAGCAAATAATAATGACTAAAGACGGATGCATAATGCTCATTACTTCAGTCTAACTGTGCAATGTCCACCTCGGTCAATAGAGTAAAAAGCTGTTCTGCTTCCCACAGAATTACTTTGCTTCCCAATGGGACGTTAAAGATCGCCAATGTAACCAGACGGGATGCAGCCAGCTACACGTGCGTCGCTAAGAATCAGTTTGGGACGGCGAGCACAACTGGGAGGCTGCTCATCACCGGTGAGTCCTGCTCTCCTCCGTCAACAGCTCACCCTTTATTGACCTACTGCTCTACAACCCGCCCTACTTTGTTCATGTTATTATGCTATGCGTATGTTGTGCTTTTCAATCAAGCAATTGTACACAGTGACAGATGAGAGTGGCAGATTTGCCTCTCAAGAGTCCTGGTGACTTTAGAAACAACGGGTTCTAGATTTCAAACGAAAGAAGACAAAAGTAGCTTTTTGTTTCTAAATGGTAACCATTGAGCTTGACAGCTGAAATAACAGCTCTATTTAGTAGATTTTATTATCCGTAGCTAGCCTGACAAACATCAAATCTGAGAGTTGCTTCTCTGGCTGACTTCTCATTGTTTTCGAGGTGACTCATATCGAATGAGCCTCTGAACACCCCCAATAGGTGTTTTCAGTTAATCCGGCTGATTACACCTCTGTCCAGGACTGTGTGGGCGTGTACAGACGCAATTGATTGACATCTCCCTGAGTCTCCTGTTAGCGTGGGAGAAATTACACCTTAATGATTGTTATTAGTAGACTAAGATTTGTCACCTAATAAATTCTGCCCAAAGCTACGCCATCTTCAACCTGAGCAGGGGTCTAAATCAGCCAGAGTAACTGGAAACACCTGAGTGGGTGTTCAGAGGGTTTAAAAAAAAGTTTGATGTCTTGCAAAATGTGCCTAAATACAGCTTCCATCACCCATGAGGCACACACATTAAAACATCGTAGGAAAATGAAAGTGTAAAAATGACGAATGACTGTTTAACAAGGGTTTATGTGTCATACCATTGCTTTAACTGGTTAGTAACTTCCTGGAGTTTCTGCTGATTGCCAGGAAATGGGTCCCAACCAACAAATAGTCCAAGCGCAGATTTGTGGTTTGCCTTGTTGTTGGAGACAGGCTAGCTGTTTCCCCTGTTTCCAATCTTTGGGCTAAGCTAAGTTAGAGACAGTGGCATCAATCTTATAATCTTACTCTTGGCAAGAAAATGAATAAGCGTATTTCCAAAACGTTCCCAGACTTTTCCTTTTAGTATGCATTTGATGGCTACTAAAGCTTACAAGTTCAACATGTAGACGGCATGGAAGTAAAAGAGCAGCATTGTTTTTGTAACACAGGGAAAAGTCAGTCAGCTCTAATATTAGAGTAAGGTATAATGACAAAACATCAACAATCTAAAACATACACGACATAGTTCCGATGTTGACTGTTCTCTCTGGACTCTTTAGATGCCAGGTGTTGCTCTTTCTACAGCCCCAGCATAGCGTCTTAGAAATCCAAAGCTTTTAAAGTCTTGCTCTGCCCAGTTGTGGTCACACCGCTGTGATTGGACATTTCCTATCAAGGGATGGATTCAGCTAATGGTCAATTTCCTTTCCTTTCAAAGTAAAAGTCAACCATTTCTTCTCAATTTATGGCTCGAGGGTACCTCTATTTATATTGAATGTTGTATTGCATGTTTAACGTTAACAACCAAAGTTATTGTCAAATTAATATGACTGGTATACGTTATGATAAAAACAGCAGTTAATAAGTAACAAAAACATTATCCTTGATTTAGTCAAAGGTCATTATTTATGAAGGCAGTGACATAACACGTACATGTAGCCCTCCAGTTTTATCTGTTGTGTGTGCATGGCCACCTGACCTATTTTTCTCATTAGCTTCTATTCTTCTCACACACTGGCAGCTGAACCATTTAATGTCAGAGAATTTAATTACTGTGACCTTTCCTCAACAAACTCCAATCCACCACAGCCACCAGTGGGAATGTGCTCCCATCTCTGTAATCCTGTTTCAAGCATTTTCTCCCAAACTGATCCTAGAACATAAAGTGCGAACCTGATATGTCATTAAATGTTGCTAATGGACAGGCTTGGAATTTAAGTGCTTATTAAAATCAGGGATAGCACACATCTAATTCAATGCCTTGATTCAGCCGTTGAACTGAAGTGAGATGGCAGGTGCCGGGGGTCACGACGGTGTCACAGGTTCCCGTGGCAGCAAAATTAACATGCGTACGCCGTCGTCTGTTGTCTGCCCAGAGCCCACCAGCATCACCGTGAGGCCCAGTAACATGGAGATTATTGTTGGCGAGAGCATCGTGCTACCCTGCCAGATTGCCTGTGATCCAGCTCTGGATGTTTCTTTCTCGTGGGCATTCAACGGCCAGCTCATCGACTTCCAGCGAGACAGCGATCACTTCGAAAGAGTGGGCGGGGTGAGTCATCTCGATCATCGCGTTCAGCTACGTTCCGGGCTATTCCCGGATTAATTGGTACACGCTGTGTGATGTGTAAGGGTGGGCTGCACTGCCCTGCTGAGGTCTTCTTAGACGCCAATAACACTTAAGCAGAGAAACGTACGCCAAGACCATTTGAGAGTTTCACAGTGGGTCCGTGGCGGATGGAATATCCAAAAGATAGCCTCAATGAATGGCACTGTCATTGTCTGTAATTCGGGGTCCATACCTTTTTGAATTGTCTGTGTGATCTGCCCTGTGTTACACTTCTCAAGATATATTAGTGAAATGCCATTTCAGTCATAAAGAGGGTCTTCATTAATAGGTCTTTATACTTTTTCATCCCTTCAACTTCTAGCTCTCTTACCTCAAAGGAGAACATCTTATCGTCTCCCCCTGGCGTAATTTAATTCTGCATACCTATTTGTGAATTTTGAGCCCCGAAAAATAATTAAGTAATGAGTTAGCTGGCATGGCACCAGTAAATGTCCATTTAAAATACTTATTCCCTCATATAATGATAAGTGAGGACTCTCTGTCGAGTATTTGTTCCTTTTGATGAAGGGCAAAGTCAATTGTTCAGAGCTTGTTAGTATGAAATTGCTTTACGTACGCCTTTTTTTTTTGCTTTTTATAGTGCCAGCCCGCGGTCAGCGGCCTGATCGCTGCCATTCACGTGTTAAAGGTTGACACGATATCTGAATGCCATCACAGTGTCACGGACACGCCAAATTCTTCATGAATGCAAATGGAAATTGCTAATGACATTGAACTGTGCAAAGGAATATAACGAGATATAGTTTTCACAGAATCTGTTTCCCCTGTCCAGAGAGATTACCGGCCCCCTAGCTCAACAGCTTCTGATGAATTAATTAACATAATTAAAGCAAATCTGCCTCATCACTGCCTCCATGCCAAGGAAGGACGTCTTGCTCTCTCGGGCACAAGATCCCAGGTTGGCCAGGTGGCAGCTGACATTAGAGAGAGAGAATCCGACATGGCAGAGCAGCGCATGGAAAACTGTCACCCTGAGGGAGAGGGGGTAAAAGAGAAAATAGAGCGGGAGGGGTAGTCTCTTTAGCTCTGCGCTGCTTTGTCAGGCGCCTTAGAGAGGCGGAGATCCAAAGGCGTCGTTGCTGCGGAGGGGAGCTGTGATCAGTTGCCGCTGGGGGGTGATGAAATCCGATACGAATGCACCAAGTCTTACCTGGCTCGCCCCCAGGTGACTCGCTTCTAAAAGCAACACACTTCCTCTCACCAGCTGACATGCTTTGTTACAGACTCTTCAAGAGGTGACTTTCAGAAGGAGGATTCCAGCGCACAGTCAAAACGAGAACAGAATAATGGTGTCTGGATACAACGTGTTATTACAATGTTGTAAATTACTTTTCGCCTTGGCATACATTTCGCCATTTTAAAAGGACAAAGCTTGTGATATTCTATAATTTTGTTGTTGTGTGCGACAATGAATTGATCGTACTGAACGCCCCTTTTTCACGACAGTGATATTGATATCACAGTGATATTAGAGGTTCAGTGCATGTCACACTTTGCAAGATGGGTCTAGTATCTAATTTTGACACGCCAGTGCGTTAAGTTACTGATGAATTCTAACGTTAAAATGTCTTGTTCTTTGAAAATGCAGTCAAATTCAAGCTGTACTGCTGGCAATGCATACCCAAAACGTTACTCAAAAGTGACACCATGTATGTGCCGACGTGTCCATGGCCACTTTCAATGTTGTTTTGATCGATGTTTCATTTAATGTCGCAATCTAATTAGCTGGTTTGTAGAAGTGAGTCGTAGAAACAGATATATTGTGAGAATTCAATACTTGATTTAAGACAAAATATTCCTTTATTAGTCCCACGGTGGGGGAATGTGCAGGATTACAGCAGCAACGTGGATAGTGCAAAAAGAGCAAGTAAAAAACAAAACAATAAAAAGTAAAGGTATAATAAATATGTAAATTGCAAAAAAAAAACAATAAAAGCTAAAAATACAATATAATACACATTATTGCACGTGTGAGTTAGGAAGTGTGAAGTGTTTGTATTGCATTTCAGACATTTTCGAAGAATTTTCTGAAAGCAAAACAAAATTAGCTGTAAATGGGCGTGTCTCACAGTGTGATCCAGGACCACCACTTTTGATTGACAGCCAAAGATTTTGCTACGTTTCTCTCACAACTTTTGTGTGGGACAACCCAAAATTGCACATGGGTCATAAGAAGTACTGTTCTGTAATCAAAGTTCGGTATAGCTTGTTCCTCTGTGCTGTTGAGCTCCACGGCTGTCTAAAAACCATTAAATGAGTCAAACTGGGTGACATGGGCACCGCAGTTGATTTTGAGTCGACCCAACCGAAACAGTCCTGCTGCTGTAGACATAAGAGAACCAAAAGTGTATTCATCCACAGCGGAAAATTGCTTCCAACAAATTACCCATTTAGTATGAGTAGCGTTTGCTGAAAACTACAGTGCCCAGCTGTTATAAGACAGTATTCAGCCTTTTTTTAAAGGAAACTAAACACTGTTCTTTGTTTTTTAAAAATATGTATTTACACCTTTAGTGGGAACAAATGAGCTTGGTTCTGAGAAGCTCAAACGGTGTAAGGAAGACGTTAAGAATAGAGAGACGGACAAAGACATTGTTGGATTTTGCTCTTTAATGAGATTTGCTGACAAAAAGAAAAACATAGAAAACACCAGCCTTTTAAAAATGTCTTTCATGCATCCACTAATGATACAGATGTCAAACACAGATGAGAAAGATGACAATATTTGTGTTTTGCCGTGTTCCCTCACGCCCCCCCCCCCCCCATGCATCCAGCTTATATAAAATAATATTTGCTCTCCACACTGGGAGTTCTACTCATATCTTGCTTGAGCTTATGTAATTACAGAATAATTAGGATTGCCTTGCCAATTAACTCGACTGTTTGTTTGTGTGTCCTGTGTATAGCTGGTAGGGGGTTGGGGGGGTTGGCAGGGGGCTGGTTGGTCGGGTAGCGCCTGAAGGACGGCCAAAAGCATTATTTGTGCAGACTACATCTGCCATGTCTGTTGTTGGTGTTTGAAGAGATGCAAAAATCTGTAGCCGGGAGACAATGTGATTGTGCAAAGCATTATAAATGTTTCAAACATCCTCGAGCCAAAAGCTGAGTGATGAAATAATGCTGCATCTCTTACTTAGACTCATGTTTTCCAACGATCATATTCCCCCCCTTCCAGAGTATATCAGGGGATCTGATGGTTCGTAACATCCAGCTGAACCACGGGGGGAAATACGTCTGCGTTATTGACACTGATGTGGAGAGCCTGTCCACCTCTGCCATCTTGGTTGTCAAAGGTAAGAGAGCCAAAGGATTTGGAGAGCTTGTTTTCATATGCCAGTGCATGAACACCCTGGCACCTCTGCTGTGAAATAATGTGGTGTTGAAGCATCTGCACGAGTATTCAAAGAGAAAGACGTTTGACAGAGATGGATGTGAAAAATCCTTGAAGCTTCCTGTAAATATATACGGTGCTGCCCCAGTCAGAGTTATGTCAGCTTCTGTTTACATTATATATGTGTGTATACATTTTTTAAAAAGGCAAACACACTCATACCAGCTCTGTTGATGTGTGCTCGGTGTATCTGGCTCGCTGAGCGGGCTTATCTCCAGTGATTTATATTGGTATTCATGCCTTAACAAACTGTAATAGTGGTCCCAGGTGCTTTGAGAAGGCAATGTTTATCACAGAAAATTACTATAATTGGCTCATTTACACATGGGCAAAATATCACGGAAAGCATTTAAATAATTGAGCAGTTGAGCAAACAACAGCAACATGGTAACGCCGGAGCGCCTAACAGTCACGGGACGCTCGCTCTCTTCTCCCTCTCTCAGTGTTGACTCTTCTTTCATCCTTCTTTCCAGTGTCTGCTCCCATCTAGCCCCTCTTTCCTTTTCTCATGAATGATCCCATCCCGTTCGGTAATCACTTCGTAGCCCTGCACACGAAACACGCAGTGACTGAAGAGTCCCTGCGTGCACAAGCCAAGGACGTAGCCCTTAATTGAAGGGAGCACGGTCGCCTTGATATATAACGAGGTGCAAAAGCCGTAATGAGTTTGATGACGGGAGGCTTCTTGGGACCTCATTGTCTGATTGATTCAGGTCCGCCAGGTCCTCCGGACAGAGTAGCAGTGGAGGAGATCACAGACAGCACGGCCCAGCTTTCCTGGACTCCCGGAAGGGACAACGGCAGCCCCATCACCGGCTACATCATCCAGGGCCGCACGCCCTTTACTGTGGGCTGGCAGGCTGTTGAAACAGGTACCGTGGAACACTCCCACCGTCCCTTTGCAGTATTTATCTGGATTGTTCTCTTGAGTTTTTATTTATTCATCATTCAATTTGAGTCCAGTTGTGCGACAACCTGATTTTCTAAAGAACACGTTTCCAATTCACAGTGCCGGAGATGGTCAACGGTAACACGCTGACGGCGACAGTGGTGGGTCTGAACGCCTGGGTGGAGTACGAGTTCAGGGTAGTGGTCCGCAATATCGTAGGCCTGGGAGAGCCCAGTCCGGCCTCAGCCATGACCAGGACAGAGGATACCAGTACGTCAAACTAAACACTTTTTTTACACAGATTTGCAGCGATTTAAAAGTAATTATTTACCAGGGAACTCTCTGGATTTCTCGTCATGAATTAAATATTTCAACCACAGTGCAGCTGTAAATAACCTGATTATTTTTTTAAATGTTCTGATGTTTTTACAACAATGCTTTTACGCTATCTTTGAGGTGGAAAAAAACACTGTCGAGTGTCCAGTCGTCTGCTGAAAATAACAGCCGGGAATCTGAGTGTAATGGTTTACTAGTCTGGTGTAGATGAAGTTAGATACTGATCAATCCTTGCATTGCATTGTCTGGAGATTTCAATAATTAATGAAGTTGATTAGGTTTCCAAAACCCTGGTTTATATCTAGTGACATGTGAAGAGCAGTATCGGTAAGACCGCATAATTGACACGTCAAGCTGTAATAAATTCCACTTACTTGGTGTCACATTTGAGAATGGACCGCACTTACGTTGAGTTTTTCTACCACAGTGAATTATTGTGATATTCAGAGAAAAAACTTTGAGACATTAATATCATGAATTTGATAGAAAACACTTGACGTTGTGGTACCACCAGCCACCAACTTAATTCCGTAAGTAGTAAAGTAGTGTTCTTAGTTTTCTTTCATGCTTTTTTTCACTGTTCTTTTCTGAACATGAATAAATATTAATACAGTCATATTTTGCACTCGGCGGATTACATTATGGCAGTGTTTAACGGTGGCATCTGAGGTTGATCCAAAATTGTAAATTGGTTCCTTGACAAGAAGTCACACCATTTTTGCGAGTATTTTATCGAAAATGTACCAATGATCCCTTTAATCTAAGAGAATACCCGTGTTTGTTTTTGTCAACTTTTTCTCCGAATAATACCCCCCTTCCAATTCCCCGGCGCCATAATTCTTTTATTTGGAAGCCCTAATATGCCGTTGTAGGAACGACTCTTAATAATAATAATATTCAGGCATTTTTCTCAGGATTCTGGAGCAGAATTCCGAGGAAGTATCGTGATCTCTGTCCCAACATTCAACCCTAACCCAACAATGCATGAGCATCGGATATAAGTGCTGCGTCAACCATTTGCTGATATCACACATTAAATGCGATGCTCCACTTACTATACAATACTAAAAGGACGTTCACGAGTGCTCCTCCACCTACATTATCAGCTTTGCCATCACACTGCGGTGCACAAACAGCGTTTGAGTGGGAACAGGAGTGAAGTGGGTTGGAGCCGAGTGTCATTCGCAAAGCTACAGATCTTGGCTTGGTGTTTATGCACATTGACATTTGGGAAATATCGGTAATTCACTACTCTCTGTGTTTGCACAGTGAGGGATTTGCGGGCAGTAAAATAGAAGACGGCATCTGCAGCAGGCAGCCTTGTCATAAGGCTACAAGTATAGTTTGGGCTTGTCGTAGCTTTGTAAACTGTGTACTAATTGCTCCCCTCTGGGCTTTACCTCTCAGTTCCTGATACAGCTCCCACTGATGTCGGAGGTGGAGGCGGTACAAAGTCTGAATTAGTGATAACATGGGAGGTAAGTCATCTTTCAGATTTTAGTGTTCTATCCATCGCCGAGTAAGGCTTCTGCTTAATTGCGCAGAATTGAACGGAGCAATTTTATGGCCCACATTAGAGCAAGGCACCTCAGGCCCCAAGTGCCCTCTCTCCCTCCAAAAGCAGGGACGGAGAGCCCTCGTTCCGGATGGTTTTGCATTTTAGCCACAATCGCATAGCCACGCAGGAGGAAGAGATGAGGCAGAATGTGATTTAGGAGTGTTCTAGGGCGGCAACGGCAAAGAAAGGAGCCACGTCTAATCGCAGGAGCCCTTATCGGAGGTACAGCGCAGAGACGGGCCTGTCCGTTTCTTCGTCTGTATGCGTTTTAATATCACTATAGTTTTGTGTTTCGCTCCCAGCCTGTCCCCGAGGAACTGCAGAACGGAGAGGGCTTCGGCTACATCATTGCCTTCCGGCCCGTGGGCACGGTCACGTGGACGCGAGCGGTCATCTCCACGCCCGGCGTGGCGCCCTATGTCTTCCGCAACGACACCATCCCGCCCTTCTCGCCCTTTGACGTGAAAGTGGGGGCGTACAACAACCGAGGGGAGGGGCCCTTCAGCTCCATCGCCACCGTGTACTCAGCGGAGGAGGGTAAGCACGGACTTCACAGCCCGGCAGCGGAGAGTGATGCTTAAATAAGCTCTAATCTCTCTGCTCTCAACTATGACCTTGAATGGCAATGATGAAATGAGCTTTCTTTTTTTTTTTTTTTTACCTCTGTGCTGTTATTTCACGCCCCTCTCAAGCTGGGAATGTCAACTTGATATTAGTTATCATGGTGGTAGATTACAGGAAATCCTAGCAGACACTTACCACACCGCGCTGTCAGGGAGGTATTCTCTTAATTGAATTTGCTGGGCAGATAGTCTTCCCTTATGTCAGTCACAGATCCCATTAAAAGAGAGTGGGGGAAATAGCTTTTCAGTGAAACTACAGGTCTATTCGGTGCCTTTCTTAATGCTATTAGCGTGTGTGTGTGATAGTGTTGGATGAGTCGGTGGGATTCTCACCAGTAGCTCTATTTTCTGCAGTCCCCAGCGTGGCTCCTAAGAAGGTTTGGACTCGAAGTGTGTCTGCAGTACAAATTGAAGTGATCTGGGAAGCTCTCCCTGCCATCTCGGAACAAGATCCAAGAGTGCTTGGCTATGAGGTACGATGTGAATCACGACAAAATCATTCCTTCCTTTTTCTCCCCTCAAATGAGATGATAATTGAGCCCATGTGGCCTGTTTATCCGATCATAACCATCCTTTCATTGCTCTTAGAATTAGTTTTCCAACTTGTAATATTCTACAATATCTTCTCATGTAAGGATCTTGTTTTTAGTGTAATGGTATCATGAAATGACCCCAACACTGTGGTGCACCAACAGCAAACCCACACGAGGAAAATAAAAAACCCTTGTCCTTTCAAGAATGCAAAGCGGGCTTTGCTGGGGGTTTTTCCCCCACCCTTCAGTGCTCTTTCAATATCTGTCACCTCTGCCCCTTAGCACAGAGCTCTCCAGTTGCCATGATGGTGGCCACATTGTCCTTTTAGAACAAAGCTCATTTCTCCAAACGCCGTCCTGAAGTGGATTTAAGCTGCCGAATCTCAATAGGCCACCAACAGCATGGATCCGGAGCCGCGTCACGGCGCATCCGTGACGCTCAGCCTTTAATTAGACGGTTAGGATTGCAAATCCAGTTTCAGTTCAATGCAATCACCGTTATCACTGCTCTAAAGATTACATTACTGTAAACTGAATCCTGCCGCTAACAACTTTACGTTGATAATACATTTGAAATACAATAATTCTACGCAATGGAATGGAGGCCGGACTTCACATTTCAATTGAATTATTTATTAACTTAACTCTTGTCACCAGACACATGAATATTGAAGATGACCCAAAGCAAGTGATCAATTAGTCCATTTAGCTTTATCAAATATTGCTTCACCCGCACCCTTAATTGGACACGAATAGCCTGGAGGAAAGCATCTTCAACAGGAGCATATACTGCTTTGCTGAAGAAAACGGTCTTTTGATACTGCAAAGCAATTTAAATATTTAGCCATTCATTTATCCATCACCTGTTTACTTTTAATATCCAACTTTCTAAGACAAAAGTAAAAAGCTGAGGCTGTTTTTATGGACAAAACAGGCAATTATCATGAATTTTCCTTCTTGGGTCAGTCATGTGATCAAACTCCCTCATTGTAATCCACATATTTCACAGATTTCATGACGGAATATAAATTTCAATAATGCGGTGAAATGCACCCCTAGAATCTGGCCATTTGTGCCCATGTTTGTGACTTTGTTTTGTTTGTTTTTTTGCACCCAATAGGTTGTGTACTGGGAAGACGACACCAAGCCTGACACTGTCGGCAAAGTGCGAATATCTGGGAAGTACACGCTGGTGAACATCACTGGGCTGAGAGCCAACACAGTCTACTACCTCTGTGTGGCCGCATTCAATACGGCTGGCCCCGGGCCACAGTCGGCGCCCATCAACGCCACCACAAAGAAACCACGTGAGTCTGTTCCCCGAGGGGCCATCGAAATCACTTCCAAATGGTGCTCGTCCGTATACCGTGAAAGGCCCCTCTCGGGTGACGTTTCACTGTCCTCTACATGACAGGCGTAGAGTTTCTTCGGCTTTGTTGGTTGTGCTCGTAAAATTCAATGTGACAAGGGAACTTTCCATTTACCTTGGGATGAAAACAAAATGTAATCAGTGGGTTGAGTGGTGCTACAGTGGCAGTTTAGCTATTCAAAATGTCTACACAAACATGTAGGGATTTAAGCCCTTACATATTCTGAGATGAGTGAAGAAATAACCATAGCATTCTTGTGTTTCATGACACCAGAATAGTAAATAGTAAGCCCTAAAAACTCATATGGAAAAAGTCCAAACACAAGCAAATGAAGACATGTTGAATAAAACATGTGCAGCACTGAGAAAAAAGTTGCCAAGTGAGAAATACAGAATACAGAAACACACTACAAATACAGAAACGCAACCAAATAATCATTTTTTCTTTTCTTTTGAATGCTGTGTTGTCAGTTTGCTTTGCTTTGTGTATATGCATCTGTTTTCTAAGTTGCAGTGTGTTGGGCTTTCAGGGCCTCCGTAGAATTCACTCTGTCTTAATCAGTGGAGGTGCTCTGCGGCAGCCACGATTTATAATTGAAGGTTTTTGTAACACCTAAATGTTCCAAGTGGAGCCCACTGTGCCTTATGAAGCAGAACTATGTAAATGGTTCAACATGCATGCATTGATATTGACACAGCATATATTACCATATCCTTTTCCAGCTCCAGATCGGGCTCCGCTCAACATACAATGGACCATGATTGGCTCCACACTCATGATGCACTGGGATGCGGTAGTAGCTACGGAGACAGAATCGAGGGTCACTGGATATTTGGTAGGTCCCAATTCACTGCATAGCTCTGATTTATCTTCAGAATCAGGGTCGACGGTTCTGGCCTCAGCTCATTTCTCCGCGTCACCTTCCCCTCCCTCAGGTGCTGCTGAAGAGACACCGCTACAACGACATCAACGCCATCCCGACCAACAAAACCACCGTTGAGCTCAGCCTGTCCGCCAACGACAACTATCTCATTCAGATCAAGGCCATGAGTGAGGGCGGCGAAGGTGTGGGCAGCGAACCCATCCACATCCATAAATTAAGTGAGTTTACTCTCGTCTGTTCTCCTGCACGTCGTTCTCTTTCTGACCACTGATAAATTGGACGGTTCAATAATTCAGAGGGGACATTTAATTCGGCTTCATCGCATCCCTTTCCATCCGTGTGTAATAGACTTATTTCGAGTGCAAGAAAAACGACCTTTTTAGAAATGCGTGCGCGGTGTCATCCATCTCTGCCATTAGGTTATTATTCCTTGTTGACTGGCTGCACAGTGCCGCAGCATATAAAGCAGTTCCCATCCCGCTACTTTGCAAAAATTGTGAGGCGGCCCAGTTTGCCGTTCTCCTCTTTGATATGCTACGAACTTTACCTTCCCAGGATTCTTAGACAGCCTCTCCTGTTGGAAGCCAGTATTAATGTAGATATGGGAAAAAAAAAAAATCACAGTTGGCTTTTGATTTATGATGACTTGTCAGAAATTTAGGGGATAGCACTGCAGAGTGCAGGTTTTGTTCTTTTGATCTGAGGAGTATTTCTGAGTTCTTCACGAGCTGCTCTGCTGCTTTTTGGTTTTGCAGGCATGGGAGCGCGGGGCTCCGGAGCGATCCGCCTCAGTCCATTGTGCCTCTCTGCGGTCCTCATCGGCGCCCTGCTCGGCTCCGCCTGGTGATGTCTAATCGGAGCCTACAGAGCGCCCTCCCTACCCCTCCGTCCCTTCAGTCAGCCTGTCCACTGGACTGGCACGAGGCCCAGGCTTTCAGTGGCCAGGATTGGGAGAGACTGGAAAGGACTGGACTCCGCCGAACTCTTTAAAGGGACCACGCCACTTTTTTTTTTTTTTCAAAGGGCCATCAGATAGAGACGTGACGATTTTTTTTGCATGCATGATACCTTTCAGTATTTTTTCCAGCGTCATAAGTGCCACCATGCTCTAGGTTACTTTTTTTGTCTTAATGACTTATCTTCTTAGTATCTTTTGGAGATACTAATGCCTTAAAAAAACATTCTACACATACAGTCCATACCAAAGTAGGTGACAGGCTGCTTGCTTTATGGTTTCTTTAACTCACAAGAATTGATCTTCTCCAGATCGGCCTCTCAACAGGCGATTACCTACTGTACATTCATTGATTTCATGCATATTTTATCGTCTCAAAAATGAAGTTTAAGTAAACCAGTTCCATTGACAGAATATCAACCAATGTCCTAATCACATTTTTCGCAGCTTTTGCCAAAAGAAACACCAATTGCATGCTTCAAAAAATCTTACCAGGCTTTGACAGATATACGAAAGATGCATAGCAAATTGATCAACTGTGCCTCAAACCCACTTATCTCCGCATACTGAAGTAATGTTAGGTCTGTTGGAGAGCCACAGTCTCCTGAGCTTAAGGCCCTCTGTACAATACTCTGAAAGAGCTTGGCATTTTGCCATCTCTTGCTCCTCTAAATAATAAATGGCCATCACACTCTGCGTACTCAGTCTGGCTTAAAAAGCTGGGATTGCAGAAGATATAGGCGTGTGGTGTCAGATCCCATGTGTGCTGTTCCTCCTCCACATTTAGACAACCCCTGTTCTACATAGTATATTATCTCAAAGGAACATGTAACATGTACACATCCCATATGACCAGCTGGCCCAGTGCACAATACACTACAACATAACAGTGCCTTCACTAGAGCTCACTTATTTCTCTTTCTGTCCTTTTCCAATAGCTTAGGGGAAAGATTCATGTTGCAGAAGAAGGCATTGTTTGCTTTTCTCTCTCCGAAGAAGTTTGTCAGGAAGGACAGGAAACTCAGAATGTAGAGGGAGCCCGTTATTGGAGAGGGTATGTTGATTAAATTTTCATCGGGACAAGCACCGGGTTTACCTTAGACTAAAAGGGTTGGAAGCTTTAGGAAAGCCGCAATGGATTGAGATATATGGCGGAAATTTCGGTCCCAGTATTTATGGCTTGTGGTTTTAATAAATGTATGACTCCATCCGAAGCATAATTTATGGGCTATTAAGGCATCAGAATAATTGATGCCAATACTGCGGTGAGAGTGCCTGACTGGAAATGGAGCGAAAGGCACGGCTGTCATTTTACCCCCACCCCATCACCGCCCATTGGACACACACCAGACAGAACAGAAACAAAAGAGCGCTGCTACTCTGCTGAGGGGGGGCTACTTTTCACGCCCTTTTTTATCATGTGGATGAGTCTGTCAAAAGCCAACCCAAGAAAGGCATGATTACTGGGGTCCTGGCGATGTTCATTCGTGGACATGGAAGGATACAGTCAACTGAACTGCTACACATACTGTGCCTTTGCCGAACATGGGGCTGTGCACGATCATTAGCTCGGAGGCTGTCGTCGTCTGTATTTTGCACTCTCTATTACCCCACCACCACACCCCCACTTCCCCAAAGTCGAATGAAAGCACAAGGAATTGATGCAAGGTGACTGGATGTCCTCACTTAGCCGTCTGAACAGGTGTGCAGTCCCCAGAGGCCTCGTAAAACGTCCAAGCGGCCGACATAATCAGGCTGTCCTATCTGCTTCTTCGCCAGTTTCATAAAGCTCTGTGCTCTTTGATTAGACCGCTGCAGAACGGTCAATGAGATATTGATTTTCTTGCCCCATTATTACAGCTGTCACAATTCAGCTGCTTGATTGACTCATGGCTGCGTTCTTATTGCACTCTGTTCTGTTGTGTTACAGTACAGTCAATGATGTTTGAGAACTACTATACTCCCGAGTGGACAACTTCAAAAGGCATTCTTATTCTGTTGTGTTTCGTTTTGCTTTTTACTAGAAATCTCACTGTATTTGCGCAATTAGTTTCACAGATTTTTACAAGTATTTTGTAGTGTAGTGGTAGATTGTGATTTTTGCATTGGAGCAGTGACCTGAAAGTGATTGGCTGGTTGATTCGTTTGAGTCACACATCTAAGTAATTCTGTATCTTTCTTCCCAACAGCGTAAAAGCCCAGTCACACCAGCATTTCAAACAGTAGCCTAAAACCCCACGGCGTAATCAGTTCATGTCAACGGGGCGAAGTAAATCTGTGTAAATATCTTTGTGTCGTAACCATTAGCAAAGAGTCTTGACAAACCGGATAATCCAAAATGGAGGAAGCTAATATAGCGTATCAGTTTTTAGACAAGTTATGAGACAGTTTTTGATGGTACAAATATGTGGAATAAACTGTGAAAACCTTATGTCCTGTTATATAACAAGCTAATGAGCAACACTGAACAAGCTAGCTAGCTTGGGGAGTTTGTCTTTTTAATGATAGAGAACAAAGAACAAAAAGACTGACTAGCAGTAGCATGTTCCTGCTGTCTATGGTTTAGCCATTAGCTCGCTAGCTATGCTAGTAACGAGCCCTGCGATAATTCATGACGTTACCAAGCCTCTAACGATGCCTGTTTCACAAAGACGTGCGGTTGAAAATCGCTGTGCCAATTTCTGGTGTGACCGGGCCTCTAAAGCAGCTTGTGTGTGCAAATACCGAGTGGCGTTAATGTTTTCGTTTTTTTTTTTTTAATAAGGTAACCTCATCGCAAGGTGGCAGACTCATAGGTTATTAATTAATGTGTGGCAGTTTCTCAAAGCTTTCTTAATTTTTACATAGTTGTAATTTAGCCTAATGTTTCTTACCGCTGGCCTTGTGCTTCAATAAATACAACAAAGTACAATCTACAGTAATAGAAGTGAAGGCAGTGATCAGAGCAATCAGCTGAAATGGTTGAAGTGTACTGATCACAGAACAGCAACATATCTATTTATATCCACAAGGTCTATTATGTTAGGTTGGTTTCCGTGGTTGTTGTTGCTAGACAAGGAGTGTACCTGGTGTGGTGTAAATAGCTTGCATATATTTTTTAAACATGGCCATCAAAGATAAACCTTACTGCTTTTTATATAGTGTTTTCTCCGACCTTAATACTGGTGTATTAATCAATGATCTCTGTGAGATACTGACATGTAGAGTGGCATTTTCATATTGAAAAGTAACTGTTTTGTCTTGTATACTAAAATTGTGCATGTTAATCATCGTTTGTGACTTTGTGTTGGATTTTTTTCTAAAACTATAACTTAATAAAAATGTTTATTCCAGCCATTGGACTGTTCGCTTGTGTCTGCCTAACTCATGGACCCACCGACTGCTTTCTACTAGATCCAAATCCCAGGGGATCTTCCAAGTCGCAAGATCAGTTGATTTATGTTTGAACTTATTAACTGCAGATGTGGTAGAGAATTTCCACCCAACATTTCAATATCAGTTAATGCAGGTAGGTATTATTAGCTGATCCTAAACTCTTGATTTGTACCTGAGCCCTGTGTCAAAATCTACATTTGATCTAGTTTTTGCTCTCACATAGGCTAGTGCATATTCGTAAATGAACTTGTAGTAAGTCAAAGTTACCACAAACATGGAGCCAGGAAGTACTATTCCAGCTAGGAGGGCTCAACAAGATCTTATTCCTGCTCGCCATAGTTCACTGCTTGGGCAGGGGCCTTTTTGTGTAGTATCTTGACAGCGAAGGTTCGCACATGGTTAACGCAACACAATAATGTTGTGAAACGGTCGTGGTTAGGTTTAGGCAACAAAACTTCTTGGTTAGGGTTCGAAAAAACATCATGGTTATGGTTAAAAGAGCTACATCTGTTAAGTAACTTAAGCTACAGACGCCCTGAGACAGAGACGAGGCTGGAAGGCTGGTTAGTATCTGGATCAACGGGCAAATGGTGAAGCTGCAGTTTGCGCTGTACTTGCAGGCAACAGGGCACATACTGTTTGGAAACAGAAATTTGTCATTTCATTGCTAATGGATTAATGGGGCGACTGTGGCTAAGTGGAGAGCAGGGCCGTCCTTCAATCAGAGGATCGGCGGTTCAATCCCCGGCTCCACTAGTCGCATGTCGACATGTCCTTGAGCATGACACTTAACCCCAAAATTGCTCCCGTAGCTGTGCCTATGATAGAATCTGAATTATAAGTTGCTTTGGATAAAAGTGTCTGCTAAATGACTGTAATGTAATGTAATGGTAATTCTGAATTATCATCCAGACATAATCTGATTTCAAATCCCCAAGATTGAGCCAGAGAAGCTGGAAACCAGAGCAGGTCTGAAGGGTATTGAGGCTGAGACTAAATTTGCTTACAAATCGTATTAAATGTAACAAGGATTAAGGGGTTTCTTAAGGATAAACGGTGACATCAGCTGTATTTAAAACGGCCTACTACTGACGAAAGCAGTATGCAGTTTATACTGCTTACTCTTAAAAGAAGCCCTTAAAGCTCAGGGGGAAGAAACCATACTATATCATACCACTTAATGCAATATTATGGAAAAATGTATTGAACATTGTTTAGTTTTTTTTGTTGATGACCAATGTTTGTTTTCTTTATAAGATGCTGCATTGTGTAGCTTCTCTCAACTTCTACATTTTATTCCAACAGCTCATGGTGAAATAAGACAATGACGGGAGTCAATATAAAACATAGCTCCACAAAATGTGCTTAAACTGCTTTTTCAGTTACAGCGACACAACAGTGGTGCGATATCCCTACAGATAAAAATGTTATTTATTGCCTCCGAGGTAACACTAGCTAGCTAACAGTGTCAAAACACGTTTGTCGCTTCTTGATGATGCATCTTTATCGGCGTGGGGATATTCAAATGTACTGGTCATTGAAATCATGGAATTATTATATTTTAATTGGATGTTTTTCTTTTATTCACGTGAATTATTGAGCACAATTCGATATATAAAATTAACAAACATTTAGATTTTTTATATAATTTAACCATTTTAGCAACACCTGGCGATCTGAAGTCCGCCACGGTATACGAGCTTACGCACGAGAACATACAGGTGTTACTACAAGTCAAAACTCTTACAGTGTTTATGGATCTGGGTAGAAATTACATCTAATATCATTAACTTCACCCATTTTAAAGCACTATACATGACATTTTAAAGTAGCATCTAGTGCATTAGAAGACCTATAGATCTATAGAGCCTGCCGTTGAAAAACTCATAACAGTTAATTGCCAGGGCTTTAGAGATATCAAGTGAAATCCAATGGGAAAATTAGATGTTTTACATTTAAAGGTGCCACCTCCCATACTCCGAAGCAGGAACGTCAGAAAGCCGCTGCTTGTGTGATTCAAGAACCAGTGGCAAGCAAGATATGTTAGTCAGTGAGATCTAAACAGGCTTACTTTATGCCACAGCAGTCTGTAGAGCAAAGGAGTGTTTCAGAATATAATCACCCGATTCATCAAAGGACAGCTTTGCACTGCCTTTCCGCTGTGCATTTTACCCATCATTAGCCCCACACAGGCACGGTATCTGTGAAGAATGGATGTTTCTTTACTTCTGACCAGAGGTCATCTCTAATACACAGGCCGTGTGATTCGAACTTGCTTTTATGTGTGAGAAAAGGTTGCTTATTTGCTTTCACCCCATGTTGGCCTCCTTGTATGCTTTTTTTTTTTGTTGTAGCTTTCTTTATAGGAGATGCATTCTATAATATATGCAAAATGATCCCCACTGAATGTCCTGTTGTAATGAGAGATATATGAAAGCATTTCTTTAGAGTGGCACTGTCCATGCCCCTGTGATCTGTTCTTGTTTTGAGATGTGAATTTCCTTCAGTTTGGGGAAATTGTTTTCAAAATATGGTGGCGAGCCCAACAGGAGGGCTGTTTCATTAGTTCCACAAAACACTCACGTAAAAGGATTTAAAAACCAAAGTTGACTTTTGTTTTTCTCACAGAGTGTAAAGGCAGTAATTGCTCTGCAGTAGCATGATCTCCGTATGGTAAGCTGTTTACAGGGTACATTTATTACAGATGAGAAGATGTTTATGAATGTCTTCAGGTCACTTCATGCTTTCTTATTTATTGCAAATGTATGCATCAGGGTTTTTATAATTGAATAATTATAATGTTGAAAGGTTTTTGGTCTTTTCACACAGAACCTCTAATGTGATTACAAAATATAAATGTGCATTTAGGTGAGAAAAAGACAGGTATTTCCACTTGCACGGTATCTTAACAGTTTATTTTCCACGGGAATGTTTAATCTTTCATAAAAATCGAAAGAGTTCGACCTTCCTCCGATGAAATTGCTGGTTCATTTATTAAACGGATTGGCAAGATTGATGAAAATGGAAAAATATCAAAGCAATCATGCCTTGACCCGAGCTGTCACCCTTCTTTTTAAAATTAGGGCTGGTAATGCTCTTCAAAAAACATTTTTGTCATATCTGCTGAAACATTCTCACAGCGATCAATAAATCAAATGCTCCGACAATAAAAAATGTGGTTTCTGTGGCTGTAATTAGAAGTCTTCCACAGGCTACTAGGTATACGATTGTGAGTGATAGCCCAGTTTGTTGTTTACGTTCATATGATAATTTTGAAGGAAGTGAGGGAGGTCTAAAGGGAAGTCAGTGTTGCCTACAGTGAAACTCTCATTAGATTTAACGACTTTTGAAACAATATACAAGCTACTTTCATTGCAAAAGAGTTGGCAACACCGGGATGGGGTTTTTGATTGGATAATTTAAAAATATCGACCGTAGTCTTGCTAGTTTCTCATACATTAATCACCCTATCTTTAAGTTGCTAGACGTTAAGTAGCAAAGTGACATTCATTCAAAAAACGTTATAATTTTAAAAAGTACATTTATTCACCCTCTTGCCACGAGTTAGTTGATGCCCGATTATGAAATAAAAGACTTCAGCCAGATGGGGTTAGCTTAGCTTAGCATAAGCACTGGAAGCAAAAAGATATAATGTGTTAAAGCTCGGTGGCTTTACAGTTGCTCGTCTCCGGATTTTGTTACTTAAAGCCCTATATAAATTCAGTTCATTTACCATTCGCAGTCCATTTACTTTGGACAGAGCCAGGCTGCTTCCAGGCGTTATGCGAGACCAAGCTAACCATCTGCTGGCACCAGCTTCATGGCCTATTTAATGGACAGACATGGGAGGGGTATTAATCTTATCTTCATATTCTCAACAAGAAACCGAATAAGGATATTAAATCTCTCACAATCTCAAACTATTCCTTTACGGTTGTTGCTCTTGTGTCTCCTCCTCCCCTGTTTCCTGCTCTCCCCTGTCTGCCTCTCTTTCGTTGTTTGTGTGTGTGTGTGTGTGTGTGTTGGAATGGGTGTGGCTCCCCTCATCACACTCTCCCGCCTCCCTCCTGATTACGGCTCATTCCCCTCACCTGTCCAGTCTGCACGGCTGCCTTCCATCTACTCATCAACTTCACAGTCCATCCACTCCGGTTCTGCGTCGACTCATCGCCACATCATTTACTCAGCTGCAGTGGCGGCTCACATCCCAGGCCGCTTGAATTGTGCTTTCAAGTATATTTCTTGCGTGCTTTTTTTCTGACTCACTTCTAAACCTGCTTCTTTGTGCCACAGGTTCACTGCTTCCCTGCTTCCCCTATGCAACCTCACCCTCGTCCAGCATGTTCTGCCATTCACCTCTGTGCCTCCTCCAGCCATCTTGTCCTCTCTAACCACCGTTCCCTGTTGACCTGCAATTAAAACCCCTTAACCTTCACTGACCTCTAGTCTTTGGTTTGTGCCCATCTGCACCACACCACAGCAAAAAGACCCATACCTCACTGTGGTGTATTTCAAATACAATGTACAGTAGAGTAGCAAAACTATCTTTTCTGTCAGTGTAATGGAGTTTAAGTCATGAGTTTGCCAAACATCCTAATAATGTAATAAAATAAAGTACAAGCAGGGTGATAATATGTTCCTTAAGCTCAGCATAATGGTCATTGTATATGAGGCTGACACAGTCCGTACCGAAGCCGCAACTCTCCACAGGAATTATACCTGCAGCTATATTTAGCAGGAGGATACCATCGAATGTGAACAGTGATTAAAATCAGGGTGTGTGTCGGTGATATTTTCACACACGGGGAATCTGCGTGTTTTTGAACCTCAGTCTTGGGATCGGGTCATTCTTGTCACACCAAATGTTGCATCATTAAGGAAGTGAATGCCACTGACTATTTCACTAATTAAAAAATGTCAATTTCATCACACATTGTTGGTGTCACCTTTCCAACAACT